AAAAGTGGCGATACTTTGAAGTTCGATTATCGATTTTTGCATGTTTTCGTTAAATTACTTCGGAAGCTTAAAAAAAATATAAAAAATAAAATTTTTTGAACTATAGTCACACATGTACTAAATAAATGCGTACTTACAATTTTGAGTCAGTTGGTCAAGTTCCAGAAAAATGCCTTTCAAGTTTTAGTATTGCGGTAACATAACGACGCTGGTCGTCGCATCCTTCAAACAACCACAACCTCGTGAATTTTAAGAGTTCACGTGTAAGGTTACACAGACTTATTTCTGAAACCATGTCCTTGAGAATATGCAAAAAAAAAAAAACGATTTTTTCAAAAATTCACATTAGGATACACTCTTAAGTAGAGTCTAGTTCTAGAATCTAGAAGACTGGTTCTAGAATCTAGAATCTCTAAGTAGAGTCTAGAGTCTAGAATTAATAAGTTTTCAAACTCTGTTTTCTTAAAAACAAAGCCATAAATAAAACAAATTTATTCTTCCTTTTTTGTTTGCTTTTCTTGGTCGGTGGTCCTCCACGAGTATAATATACAATATATAAAAAATATAAAATGTAACAAATCACGAAAATCTCTTGCAATGTTAACAGCACGACAACACGATGCGAAAAGAATAAATATCTCTCATACTCATCACTTAAAAAGCGGCGACGTTTTCCGAAAGCTTCCTAGAGCGACCTCTACTTCGAAGAATTTAGATCAACAACATCTATGTCCATTAAATCATTCTGTCGAGAATGTGTATTTAATGTAAACAATAGAATATTTAAAAATTATTAGTAATTTCATTATCTCCATAGAAATAATTACAGAAACTTATATATACTGCAATCATTATGTTAATTATTCACTCGTTATTTAACTCGTCATTTAACTTCCATTATTTGATCTTCGTTATTTGATATTTATCATTAGCAATTATATATTTTGTTACATTGATAATATTTTTATATAAACTACTAGAATTAATTACGGAGTATATTATTTATTTGTAGTATCGTGATATTAATTTATTTATCATCATAATTACTACAAAATTGGCGACCCCGACGTGATGAAAAAGAAGACATAATCACCACGAAATTAGTAACTTCAACGTTTAAAAAAAGAAAATTATGGCTACTTACAATGAAATTGGTAACTCCCGATATTTGAAAAAAAAAATTATCAATATTAACAAAATTGATGACCTCCATACTAATGATAAATATCAAATAACGAAGATTAAATAATGAAAGTTAAATAACGAATGAATAATTAACACGATGATTGCAGTATATATAAGTTTCTGTAAATATTTCCACGGTGACAATAAAATCACAAACAATTTTTAAATATTCTATTGTTCATACACATCTCGACGGTACGATTCAAAGGAACACAGATGATCAAAATTCCTCGAAGTAGAGGTCGCCTAGTGCAAGCAAATTTGTAATTTTTGGCGCGAAAATCTGAATAAATCCTCAAAATTAAATATTTCATGCACCATTTCAAATTTCACAGGAATGTGTTTCGCGCTCTCGAGGAACATACGTGCCATTAAACCAGACTTCCTATTCCCTAAATTAACAATTATCAATTGTTTCACAGCGTGCTGCATTGCACAAGACATGGCACGACCAATTTTCGAATAATTTACGCTCGTGAACTTTCACGCATCGAGAGCGAAACAAACGGTTCAAGCAAGTTTCTACGCTGAATCTAAATTTATTTCGTGCAATTTTGATATTGATAAAAAATTTGGAACACCGCACCGCTGTAATCCCGACGCTCGTCACGAGAATCGTCAATAATAACTAATTAAATGAACCGAAATTTCGCTTCGCAACTGCGTGCAAAATTTATTTCATTGTCCATTTTTTATTGTGCGATTCCAAAAGTATTCGGATTTGCTCTAGAGATCGAGTAGTTAATAAATATCGAATTGATTGGACGAAGTATCTCTGTCCTTGTCGCGCAGTAGTGCTCTCCTTGTCTCTCGCGTGGTTTATGTCTGTCCTTGTCGCGCGGTAGTGCTCTCCTTGTCTCTCGCGTGGTTATGTCTGTCCTTGTCGCGCGGTAGGGCTCTCCTTGTCTCTCGCGTGGTTTATGTCTGTCTTTGTCGCGCGTTAGTGCTTTCCTTGTCTTTCGCGTGGTTTATGTCTGTCCTTGTCGCGCGNGTAGTGCTCTCCTTGTCTCTCGCGTGGTTTATGTCTGTCCTTGTCGCGCGGTAGTGCTCTCCTTGTCTCTCGCGTGGTTTATGTCTGTCCTTGTCGCGCGGTAGTGCTCTCCTTGTCTCTCGCGTGGCTTATGTCTGTCCTTGTCGCGCGGTAGTGCTCTCCTTGTCTCTCGCGTAGTATGTATCTGTCCTTGTCGCACGCTACTGCGCTCCTTGTCTAACTAGAATTTCCAGCAAACGCCAACAGATGGCAGCAGTGTCCAGCTCGTAGAAAAGGAGAGCACCAACGTGAAACAAGGAGAGATATACTTCTCCGTCTAACCTATTGAATATTCATTAATTACACAATTTCTAGAACAAAATCGCACACTTTTGGAATTTTGGAATAAAGTCCAAACTACGAGCAATATTCACACGCAGTTTTAAATCGTAATTGTTGCTGAGATTATCGATTATTAACGATCGTTCCACGACAACACGTTGCCAAACAAGACTGTTGCGACGAACTTTCGCATAATTTGAATCGATCGATCATTAATTAATGATCTGTATGCGTGGGATATAAAGCGCAGGGTTTAAGAAAGCTTCTACAATTCCAAACAACGAGATTTAATCTTGCAATAGCTCGATAGTAATGAAAAATCGTAGACGTGTCTCGCGTAAGCCCAGACACTCGTCGACATAATCGTTGATAACTAATTAAATAAATAAAAAATCATGTCAAAAACGGTATGAGAATGTTGCTCGAGGCTCATTCTGTATTCCTTGATTCCAAAAGTGCATGAATTATTCCGGAAATTCAAGTAATTAGTGAAAATTCGATAGATTAGTAAGAGATATGTGTCTGTCCTTGTCGTAGAATAGTGCGCTCCTTCTCTGTTACGTGTATCTGTCCTTGTCGCACAGCATCGCGCTCCTTGTCTGACAGTAGTTGAGATACCTCCACGCATATTCTATGTTCCTGTTACATTTCCGACTTTCCAGCCCCAGTCCGATAGATGGCGGCACTTAATTACAGAAAAGGACAGCAACGTCACGCGACAAGGATACACGTATTTCTCTGTCTAATTCATCGAATATTTATTAATTACTCGATTTCTAGGTTGAAATCACTCGCTTTTGGAATCGTGGAAGAAAATCTACACTACAAGCAACATTCACATGTGGTTTTATATCGGAATTGTTGCTTAAATTACGAGTTATTAATTATTGTCGCACGATAACCCGTTACCACAGAGAACCGACGCGATGAATTTTCGCATAACTTGCATTAACAGACAATTAACTGTTAATGTTTGTGCTTTGAATGTAAAGAGCAGAGTCTAAGGAAGCTTCTACGATTCCAAACAACGAGATTTAATCTTGCAACAGCTCGATAGTAATGAAAAATCGTAGACGTGTCTCGCGTAAGCCCAGACACTCGTCGACATAATCGTTGATAAGTAATTAAATAAATAAAAAATCATGTCAAAAACGGTATGAGAATGTTGCTCGAGGTTCATTCTGTATTCTTTGATTCCAAAAGTGCATGAATTATTCCGGAAATTCAAGTAACTAGTGAAAATTCGATAGATTAGTGAGAGAGATGTGTCTGTCTTTGTCGTAGAATAGTGCCCTCCTTCTCTGTTACGTGTATCTGTCCTTGTCGCACAGCATCGCGCTCCTTGTCTGACAGTAGTTGAGATACCTCCACGCATATTCTATGTTCCTGTTACATTTCCGACTTTCCAGCCCCAGTCCGATAGATGGCGGCACTTAATTACAGAAAAGGACAGCAACGTCACGCGACAAGGATACACGTATTTCTCTGTCTAATTCATCGAATATTTATTAATTACTCGATTTCTAGGTTGAAATCACGCGCTTTTGGAATCGTGGAAGAAAATCTACACTACAAGCAACATTCACATGTGGTTTTATATCGGAATTGTTGCTTAAATTACGAGTTATTAATTATTGTCGCACGATAACCCGTTACCACAGAGAACCGACGCGATGAATTTTCGCATAACTTGCATTAACAGACAATTAACTGTTAATGTTTGTGCATTGAATGTAAAGAGCAGAGTCTAAGGAAGCTTCTACGATTCCAAACAACGAGATTTAATCTTGCAACAGCTCGATAGTAATGAAAAATCGTAGACGTGTCTCGCGTAAGCCCAGACACTCGTCGACATAATCGTTGATAAGTAATTAAATAAATAAAAAATCATGTCAAAAACGGTATAAGAATGTTGCTCGAGGTTCATTCTGTATTCTTTGATTCCAAAAGTGCATGAATTATTCCGGAAATTCAAGTAACTAGTGAAAATTCGATAGATTAGTGAGAGAGATGTGTCTGTCCTTGTCGTAGAATAGTGCGCTCCTTGTCTGTCACGCGGTATATGTTTGTCCTTGTCAGACAGTATCGCGCACCTTTTCTAACAGTGGCTGAGATACCTCCTTGCTCATTCTATGTTCCTATTACTTTTTCATGATTTTAGCCAAATCCTATAGATGGCAGCACTTAATCGCCGAGAAAAAGAACGCATTCTGTGTGACGAAGAAAGATGTATATCATGAAAAGGATAAGGCGAGCACTTATTATTGGACAAGGACAAGGGATAGACATATAGCTAACTTTAAAAAAAAACACAGTAATTTAAAAATATCTTTCTTTAATATAGACTAATATACAACATACAATACATGTATTAAACAAAGATATAATATTAAATATATTATATAATGTTAATTATTGTAAATCGTACAAATAAATGTTATAATTTTATACAAAACATGTGAATACCGTAAATTTCAAACCAAATGATACACTTACATAACTAAATGAAAAACTTGTTGTTCTTTTATATTTTAAAGTTACAGACTCATACAATTTTATTTAATGTTTTAAAATAATAATTTCAAGTATTCTTATATAAATCTTATTTTAATAAAGACCACTTGAGTTGTTCCTTTGCAGATTGCAGAACCTAGAACAAAAACAAAATATTTAATGACACAAATGAAAATCCTGTGAAAGGTTGTTGATAATTCTGCATTCTAGAATCACAAAAACTTACAATCAGAGACTATGCGAAGAATGTAGAATGATGCATGAACACAAAATAAAAAAATCGAAAATGTTTCTATGTGATAAATGGACATAAACTTTGCTATGCCATTAAATCAGTTAAATATTCTGTACTTAACATTAAATATTACCTGTGCAACAGTTTGTTCTCCAAGTGGAATATCGTCCGTTCTTAATGCAACCCTTTGAACAACGCTTGAAGCATCGGCATCCAGAATAATTCTAAAAAAATTTCAAATTATCCTGTTCTGTTGATATACGCATAATATTTAAACATTGTCTATTTACCCTCCATCACAGATTTCATCCATTGCTAACATAACTATATCCAAGCTGTCTAAAACAGCTTTTTTTTCAACATTTTTTCTTAAAATTTGGCTCACTGAATCGTATAAACAATTTAATACACTCATTAAAATTAACTGAAACAAAAGAACCAAACTATTAGAATGAAAAATATCTTTTGTTACTAAAATGAGTGAATATTTAAATTTTATACATACCTCATTTTCATGAGAGCTTCCCATAACATAAAAGAATAAATCTACGTTGCTTCTGTAAACACACGTCAAGCCATCCAGCATTATAATTTCTGCATTTGCTCTGTGCGTTTTGTTGAAAAGATTTTTTTCGAATGTTTTCTGTTCCTTTGATGTAGGAAATACATTTTTATCATAATATTTTGCTAATATTCTGTTACCATCATTGTCCAAAATAGCCATACCCTTGACTGTGTAGAGCGTTGGTTCCTATAAATACATACGTGCATATAAATATAAAAACTTATGTTAAATCACGATTCATTAAAAATTCTCTTTCGGATATGCACCCATACCACACTCAAATAAAATTGTGTTTAACAAACACACATGCTGCACTGAATTAAAAGAGGTTAGAGAACACTCCATTTTTCTTTTTTTTTTTTTTCAATAAACGAGAATAAATTGAAACAAATGAGGAAAGCAAACTTAAATTCAATAAAAATCATACACGTTTCTGAAATTCGCGATCCTGGTCACTCAGAAGCATTGAAGATTGGTTATGTTGCACGATTTTCGATGATCCAGCACGATTCATGATCACGATCGCACGAAACAATACTTATATCATGAATACATTAATAAGAAGCGCACTTTGCTACGAAATCTATATAAAAAAAAATTCAAAACGCGCATTTAAATACTTACCGATAACTGACCATCCATGTTTACGTCAAGCTTGACGTGTCACTGTCTATACAACTACGTGAATCATGCTGTTTTCCAGCCAATAATTAATTCAATTGCCCGGCAAATTGGAATAATTACAAAATGTCAATAAAAAAATTATCCTTACGTTACAATTATTTAATTTCAATTTCGTTTAACAATTGTACTTAAAAATATATTATTGCACACTGCATAATATTGCATAACATTGCATGTTATGTAGACGCATTATTTATAGTTTTTGTATATTTGTAAATTAAATAATAATTTGTATAATTGTATAAAATTTAATTATGTTACAAAATATACGATGCAATTTCACTTATTATTATATATTACTATTATATAAATATTTTTTAAATATTATATAATTTAGACATTTCAACCTAAACAATTTTAATTAACTGCAAATCGTTTCAAATTTCCTTCTTTTTTATCATACTCGAATATTTCCGGAAAAATTCAGGTCCATCCCATTTTCCACTATAAATTATAACAATGTTATGAAATTCTATATTCTTCCTGTACAGAAGTCATAGATTTATTTCAAATTTGTAATAGATTTACCGAGTCATTAAGGTCCAATATAAGAGTGGAAATACGTAGGTTTTAAGTATAAATGTGAAAAAATATTCTCGGCCTTGATTCACGGGGAATGTTTCCAATGGTTTCAAATTATAATCGAATTCTGCTAAAATGCATTTTCGATAACCAGTGACTAAAGGACAGGAAGAGTAACCATTGTAAGCCATAGTCATTGGTTTACCAGCCAAATCATCCATAATGTTCTTGTATAATACCTTTCCTTGAGCAGCTACAAAAAAATAAAATATTTAAAATAAAATTTCGTTCAATAGTTGGTAAAAAAAAAAAAAATTCTGTAATACCTATCGCTGCCATTGTTTTGGAGTTTGGTGCGCTAATACAATCTCCGATTCCGTATATGTTCGAATATTTTGTATGACGTAAAGTTTTGGGATCTACTGACAAAAATCCCACTTCGTTCGTTAATGAAGGATGTTTTTTCAAAACGTCAGGTGGTCCCATTGGTGGACATACGTGAAGCAATGAATACTGAATGTAAAAATATAAATCATGTACATATTCGATTGTATATGTACATATATTTTGTAAAAAAATAGAAAAGATACTTTTTCAACAAATGTTTCATTTGATCCATCTAATTTTTGAAACACAGCTTCTTCTTTAGCTGGATCTATTTTTATAAGATTAGTTTGAACATTTACAGTAATATTCCTTCGTTTGCAAACATCCCAAAGTGCATCAGCGTACTTTTTAACTCCAAATATAACTGGCAAAGCAGTGTTATACACAACTTTTACATTATTACGTACCTTTTGCTTTGGAAAGAATTGACATGGATATAATATATGTATCTTAAGATTTAAAAAGTGTTAGAATACAATATTTACATTTCGAAAATAATCTTCTGCGATATAAGCAATTTTTTGAGGTGCTCCAGGACACTTAACAGGACTGTTTGGGAAAGTAAATATTGCAGTACCACTTTTAGTTCTTGCAATTTTTGGAAATACATTTATAACAGTATCAGATCCATAAATGGAGCAAACACCTGACATATTATCTTTAAGACACTCTATTAGACCTGGTATCTGTATACGTATAAAACAAAACATTGATTTTTATTCGTTAATTAAAAGAGATAAAATAATTTGTCCAACCTCACTTTTTCCCAATACAGTTGCAATCCCATTGCAATGATCATGATTTCATATTGCACAGTATCTCCATTGCTCATCGTCACTTGATTTTGTGGTGGTTCAAAGCTCATTACATTTTCTTGAAACCATTTTGCATTCTTTGGTAAAGTATCTTTCATTAGCTTTTTCGATGCTTCAAAAGATCTTATGCCACCCCCAATCAAAGTAAACATTGGTTGATAATAATGCAACTAAAACATATTCTGTTTTATATATAATAAGATACTTTATTTAATTATAAAACTTGATACCTTTATTATCTAAAAGATATTTACCTCATTTGGTTCTACTATGATAACTTGGTCTTTAAATTTATCAGCAAATTTTGCAGCCATGCTGCAACCTCCAGTACCACCACCAACTACTAACACTTTACATCTAAAATATTTCCCATTAACATTAATATTCATATAATTGTGAGATTTTTAACAGATATAGACTTTTATATAGTATATAGTTTATATAGTTATAAGTATATATATATTTACTTACGAATGATGTATTTCTCTATATCCATTTTTGATTAATATCTGTCTTTTAAGAAATTCCAAATTACAGATATTTAAACAAGATACAGTGTGACGTAAGCTCCTGATATGATTCATTCTTGGAACCAACAGAAATAATCAGATTATGAGTATATTTATAAAAAGAAATAAAAATTTGTAAATTCTAAATCATTACATCATTTTGACTAATTAATTAAATTAATAAAATTGCAATTAATTGTCAAGTAATTAATAGTAATTAATGTAAACAACAGTCAAAAACATTTTTAAGAATATTTTTAAACAATATACCTGTTCCTGTTTTAACGTCAATCGAAGATAACGTAATTGTTGAAACGTGTAAAATAAGTTGTTTTTCGAATTCTTGAGTTATGTTTTTGAATTATGCGTTTTAACTAGAAATAACGGTTAAAATCCTTGAAGTCAGAGGTTCGCAAACTGGAGCACAGTAGTGTTCAGATTGTCACCACGTCGATACTGTGTAAATTTCAATCCTATCGAGTTTTATCGAAGTATCCAGAAGAATCGATCTTGACTTCGTGACGTCATAGATCTCATAGCAAAAAGAATCGATTCTTTTTCAATACAAATACTGATTCGATATTTTTATTAAAAAATCGATATATAATTGAAAAGATTTGATTAGATCTTTAAATTTGAATAAACTTACCTTAGCACAATTCTAATTTACGACTAAAAATCATACGACACTCCCTTTATATATATATATACAGTATATTATATAACAGTAGTTTTTATATATATATATATATAAACTACTGTTCACGAACCATATGTAAATGGCATTTATTCTGGATAAAAAAAAGAAAAAATGAAAAAATTAATGATCCATGCATAGGAAGGAGAAATAATAAAAATCACGTAGATAGTTGTTTTAGTCATTCTTTTGCTTCTCTCTTTATTAAGGATAATTTTTTAATGCTGCCTAAAACTAGGCAAGCTTAACTCGAATTCCGAAAATCATCAGTCATGAGAGAAGAAAATAAAGAGTCTCTTAGTTTTTTTATAAAATATTTTGTAAAATATTTTTCTTAAAAAGGAAAAAGAAAAGAATATATATATATATACACACACACACACATATATATTTGTTCAGTAGTTTCCATTATTAAATAATAATTGCACTTGTAAGTCGAAAAGATATGAACACCCATTTTGATTACAGGGTGATTAACAAAAAAACAATACATGGCAAATAGCCAAATGATGGCAGCATATATTTTCTTGTTCAAAATCAGTTTTTCTTTTTTCTTTTAACACGAAGTTACTTTTAATTTCAAGAAAAAATTTTCTCACGACTAAAGACTTCCGGATCGAGCCTATATCCACGACACGCAAGCTCCATGGCATGCCCGTGAAATACAAATGCACGACGACTTGCAAACGATGATGATGATAATAATAATAATAATAATAATAATCATAATAATAATAAGATACACTCTCCACGAATCGTCGCTTCTATTTAAATCCTTAAGAATTAATTTATGTACATCGCGGACAGGGTATTTCTCCTTCGATTATCTCCCGTTTGTCCTTTTAAAAAACTTCTTCTTCATCTTTCACATCGATCGAACTCTTGTATGCGTCTTGCCAAATTTTTTTAATCCTTCTTCGGAGAACGAAACGGAGACAACTTGCTTTTCCAAAGGCGCGTATCATTTTCGCGTCCTATCCGAGGTTTTTTTATAGTTAAATTTAGCCTAACAATTTTCAAGTAGGTCCATTTCGATCTTCGAAAAGTATCGATCGACAAACGAATCATTTATTCGATAAAACAGTGCCATACGTCTAGACATTGTTTCATTCGAAATTTTACGTGATTAATTTTCTCTCTCTCTCTCTCTCTCTCTCTCTCGCTCGCTCATTCTCTCTGTATCATTCAATTGTGGTAAATGATGAAACAATTGTGTTACAATTGTTACGCGTTACTCACTTAAATGAAAACAATTAGCAATAAACGTCGTTTTTGTACCACATAGCCAAGAGAGTACCAAAAAATTCATCTACTATTACATAACGATTAGGAAAAGAAACGTGCCAGAAATGAGGAAAAATGTACTTGGTGCGATCTCTCTCTCTCTCTCTCTCTGAGGGACGATACAATATACATAAACTGTATGCAATTACAATATTCTATAAGTAGAATTACTCTCGGCTACGGTACAACGCACTAAAGTCGACACGATAAAATGAGCTTGTCATTCTTACCTATCTTGTAATAAGAATGAAAAATATTCTTGCAATATTATATTCGACGAACGACGAAGCCAGTGATATTTTATCGCGCCGAGAATCGTCTCGAAACATTTATTGCTAACATACAATTTTGTTTTTTTCTTCCTTTCTCTCTCTCTCTCTCTCTCTCTTTCTTTTTTTCGTTGAACAAATGTGTCAAAGGCATATTTGACAATAATTGAAATACGATCCAATACGATCCACGAATCTAAGTTTATAATCGATCGGCTTATTACTTATAATCAATAAATACATTTTTCTCCGTACACGTTTTCGAACTCGGCGTGCAATCGATATGCACAATAAAAGAAGAACGATGAAGAAATGGCTATGCGCGTGAATTATCTCAATGATTCACAAACGATAGAGGCGTTTTCACCGTTTTGCGTTCTTACTGTTTACAGTTATCAATGTATCGTGTGTTATTATAATTACCGTTATTTAAATGTTAATTGATATTAATATTATTATTATTATAGCTGCTCGTTTTTTTTTTTTTTTTTGTTCTTTTAAGATAACGCAACAAATGCTCAGGTATGAAACATGCGTGAAAACCTTCAATGATAATACCTTTCTTCTTCTTCTTAAAATCGATACAGTACACACGGCCGTTCGCAAATATATACTCGAATAATGCGATTTTGTTATCGGTTTCTCTTAAAAAATAATACCTACAGAGAATGGAGTCGAGTATTAATCGTGTATTCGCTAAATATACGCGTTTATCCTCTGAACGAGTGAAGCTAATTAATGGAATCTTTCGTTTTATTACCATCGCGCGTACTGCAACTTGTACCTTTGCTCTTTTACGTTTTTCTTTCTTTTCTTTTTCTCTCATTTCAATATTTCTTACATTGTGTGTATGGTGTGTAACGAGATTAGTGTAACCGTAGTGTGTCGAGTCGTTCATTTGGTTTATTTTGGCATACAAAATAATTTTATTTACAGTCTGACAATAATATTAATCGTTTATCTATAGTCTTTTATACTAAGTGGCGATAGTATAATTCGAATTACTTACTATATTATGCGGTCTTTTCGGCTATGTACATAACAAAACGGCACGAATAAATATCATTGGACATGGACCAAGCTTTCCTTTCAGTGTGCATGCTCACCGCTTCGCGCAAACGATTCGTTTCTTAGGGACATTCGAACCTGTAGAAAATTCATCTTTAAAGGATATTTATCGATAAAGGTGGGATACTAAAAATTATATTATATTACATTAATATAACATAATGTAATTATATTACATTACATTAAAACATTAATAACATAATATAATTATAATATATTATATTATTTGCATCATTAACAACGCTATTCTATTCTACGCTTTGATCAAATCATTTTGTCTATGATCTTGATTCGTTAAGGAAAAAGAAAGAAAAAATATGGTATCGTAGATGCGATAAGAGACGAAAGTTTGTTAAATGCATCGTAACAGAAATGAAATGATCTAACTGATGACGTTGAAAATGTACAATTGAACTGAATGAAATTCCTTCACTTTATCGGTGAGAATATCGCACAAAGCATTCGTGTTTCTGAATCCACAGATAATGACAAAAAGAAACATTCGCCACTTAAGACGTGAAACGTACAATCTACGTTCGACTCGTTTCGAGCGTCGAGTTCTGTTTGATCACGTCCCTGTCTGACGAATCGATCAACGATCAGTTTGATAGTTGTGAGATTTATGGTGCATGAGTTTACTTGCATTCTTCGATGCAAATGAAAACAGGTGGCAGTTTAACGAAATACTAAATGGAAAGTTGTAGGAGAAAGTAATATTAAAGCCCTCGAAACGAAGTTCGACTTATACCTCGATTCTTAATTCGCAAGAATCGTATCTTTGACGAATGACAGACTTTTTTCTATCATAACTTTGAAAAAGAACGGAAAAAATTAAATATCACTCGCGATACATTGCTCATTTTCCATCAGGAATGACGCAAAGTATCGATAGGATCGTCACAAAGTATTGGACATTTGAGATCGATCCTGAGGGCTACGATTAGTATGAGACGTGTTCTTTCGAATATTTGCACATCGAGAGAAAATTAGAGAAACTCGCCTCATACTTTATAAAACGGTTCAAAGAAAAGAAAAGGAAAAAGAGACAACTTGTATAGACAGAATGAAAATCAATCGCGCAACAATCCAATGATCAAGGACGAAGTGAAATTCTCTTTTCTCTTAACTTACCGTGTACCTAATTTGACCTGAGCAAGATTAACTATTTCTTTTTCTTTTCGTTTTTCGTTCCTTTCTCTAGTCGAAAGCATAAATCGACGACCGATTTACGTTAAACTTTGGCTAAACGTTAAGGCGTCAAGCTCGCGTCTTCGATGCAGCCACGTATACGGAAACAACCACCATTCCTTTTCATTGTGAATTTTGCAGGTAGGATTGGGCTGCTGAACGGATGAAACTAACAAAGGTGATGGGTTCTCCGCTTGATCATGTGGAGGACGTTAGAAACGAAGACGATGATGAAAAGCTGCAGCGCTTCAGGATCTCCCGAACGCAGTTTCAACGAGGACGAAGAAGCAAAACGAGATGAATTTCCTTCTTTCCCAGGTTGGGAATCAACCGGAGCACTTCCTGAAGAGACTTTTTACTGATATCCTCTTCTACCGATGTCCAGATACTACGACGTGTGAGACTGCGACAGCTTACTAGAACTTTTATGGTGGCTAGATGTGTGTTTCTCCTGAAAATATAAACAGAACTGTGATACTCTGATCTTTTCAATGATCTTTTCAATTGTTTAACAAATTAACAACGAGTCGTTTGACATTTGCTCAGTTTCATCTAAACGAAAGCAAATAAATTCTCTAAGTTCTTCTGTCTGTAGAATGTTTTAGGAAATTATTCGACGTTGATGGTTTGCTCTCTCTATCACGACGTTAAACGTTGAGATTCCTTTCTGTTACTTTTCCTTCTTCCCTCTTCGGCGATCGTGAAAGGAAACAGATAAGCAATAATAGGCATTATTTGCATCGGCTTATTATGAAAATTTCATTAATATTAATGAGATATGCTGGTTAAATATTATCGATTGCAATTATATTTTTTGAGGCGACACGTATTCCTCGATGCGTGTTGTCCAGACAGGTATGACACGTATTCAGTTGAACTACGAATCCAAAAATTACTATTTTTTTAAAAATGTAGCAAATGAGATACAGGAACTGACTTTCAATCTGGGCACGATCAAGTGTTGAGAATTAAATCGAAAAAAAAAAAAAAAAAAACGTGAAGTAATTTCACGAATAAACAATGTTGACACTCCTGTGCAAAATTTTATCCTTTCCCTCAAAAAATGTAATTTGCTGTTCGCAAGGATTAAATGAAACACGCAAATTGAAGCGCAATTCTTCGAAGAGAAAAAGAAAAAGAAAAAGAAAAAGAAAAAAAATAGGTAGAACTGAATACGTGCACACAACACAAAAAGCCTGCTAGTACGCGCATGCTCATGCAAAATTACACGCATACACGATACACTCAAATAATAAACAGAAATGATAACAATAGCATCGGACGTTTCGACGATAATGTACAGGCGAACATTACAAGTACCCATCACCAAGCGAGATATAAACTCAAATAATACGTTGCGTTTCGACATATGTACTCTGACCTGTCTCTTATACGCTAAGTAAGACCATCAACATCCACGGTATGATAGAGCGTATAAAAATGAAGAACTTTTACACATGATAGTAATCGTATTACATACTGACAGCTGTGATATTTATGTTAGTACACAAAAGGATGCGGCGATGTATGATGTGCGATTGTTACATCTAAAATATATTCATATATGTATGTATATATAGGTAAACATCGTCGTGTACCGTAGTATATGCATACATATACTAATATCATTTTTGCTTTAATGGTGTGTTAAGAAAGAGACAAAATAATCACTAAGGTACTTTTCGTTTCCACAGAACGTTTATTTCGGATGATTATTTCTTTTCTTGGTCGAACACATGACGCATACGATTCCTGCCGTAATAATAATAATAATAATAATGATGATAATAATAATAATAATAATAATAATAATAATAATAATAATAATGGTAATAATAGTAGTAATAATAATAATAATTATAATGATAATAATAATAATGATAATGATAATAATAATAATAATAATAATAATAATAATAATAATATGTAATTGTCCGCAACGTGTACACTAGAACAATCTATTTTCATTAAATTATACACGATATTAAACCTTTTCTTTCTATAAAATTAAGATATTATACATATATGTACAAGCACCTACGCGTTTCTATCTAATAAGTTCATAAGTTGTGTGGACGATCCAGGTACAAAAGTTTCATTCACGGTAACACAATAACCCGGATGAAGAAAACTGGTGGTTTGCGCGAACGGTGTATTTTACAAAGGACAGTACCACATGGGTATCTGTGAGATTTTGAAATGATTAAAGTTTCCAAAATTTTCTAAGCGTATAATTACTGTATAAAATAACTAAACACCTCATCAGTGACAACATATGTAGGTGACAATTGCAGGAAACGTACGCACAAGTGACAGATATATATATATATATATATATACACATACATTGTGTACAGTACTGATGCAGTGTTTCGCAAAATTTTACACATTTCGTGTTTTCTATAAACGGTTCATAAATTTCATATCACTCATATCGATCGCTACTCATATGCAAGAGCTCGTATATCGTATATCGTTACTATTATATTTATATATATAAATATTATGTGTGTGTGTGTGTGTGTGTATAAATAAACTCACATGTATATAACTCTCTTTCAATTTCTTGCTATCGGAGAGTACAAAGTCTATATAATTTACCTTAGCAATTATTTTGTCTTCACACAACTTGTACAATTGCACAATTTCTTTTTTAACTAGGCCGATCCTATGAATTTTCTTGCAATTTCTCAGTACTTCTCTTTTTTTTCCTGTTTCGTTCCTTCCAGATTGTTTTTTTTTTCTTTTTTTCTCTCTTATATATATATATATTTTTTTTTTTTTTAATATCACATACAAGTCCTACGAGTTTTACACAACGATCTTAATTATATTTATGGTTATGATTAAAGCTAGAGGTTCGTTCTCGTTTGTATGCTCGAAAGATATCCAGGAAGAATAAATATAATGTCGAAATAATTCAAATAATATTCATAATTAATTTCATAATTATATATAGAAATATATTTCTCGTTTGTACAATTATATTTATCGGTAAACAATTAAATTTCATTGGTGCAATTCATGCGCCAATCATAAATTAGTAATAATCAAAGAAGAAAATTTTGAAAAATAAATTCTATACAATGTGTTTGTCGTTTTCTACGTGATTTTCCTCGATTCATGATCGGAATATCTATTCAAACAAACGATTCACGATTTCTTTTTTTCCTTTTTAAATTCTTTTTCTTTCTTTTAAACTAAAATTATATATAGACACATATATATATATATTTTTTTTTTCTTAACTAGAAGAAAATAAGCTAAAAGATACAGAAATATAAAAAGAGATACAGAATTTTGCACTGAGAAATCTAAGAAAAGGGGCAACGATCATAACAATCACACAGTACACATGTAATAACCTAAATTCAAAATACTAGATAATAATTGTGACAATAATTACTAATTAATTACTTAATTAATTTAATCGCGACCACAACGCTTAGCAGCACGATAAATTCGTATCATGTCACAATGACGAATCACGATACACGCGTGCATACGTGCCGTGTGTGTATATTTTTATGTAAATATAAACGCATTTATACTTATTATCGTATATGTGTATTCTTTTTTTTTGTTTCAATATATTAATTACGTCTATCTCTCGCTCTGATTTGACACGTACCTGAGATAATATCCATTCGATAATAATCATTACTTTTATCTTGTTAAATATATATATATATATATAATATATATACACGTGTTATATATATATTATACATATATAATATGCATATATATTTTCAAAGATGCGAATTATGCTAATAAGAATAGAGAGAGAGGAAAAAGAAGAGAAAAATCCACGCACATTCGCGATTACTCGGAATAAATATAAAATTAATCTACATATACACGTAAGAACGCACGAGAGAATGTAAAAGTAGGTAGGAAAGTTCTTAACGAATATTTCCAACTCTAAATAAAGTATCCTCCCTCAAATTCAGCGAACAAATCTTCTCTTTTTACCGATGTCAAGAGCAACGATTTGTAACGATGCTTCTTTGATCACACATATATCCTCACGTGTTAATCTTCGCGAGCCTTATCTTTTTAGCCGTACAAACGAATGTATAAAATTACAATTTTTATAAACTTTTATAAGGTTTGTCAACAAAATTTCTTTATACATTCATATACGTTTAAAAAGATATGCTTGCAAAGGTTAACGAGACGTGAGGATACATGTGATCAAATCGTTGCTTTGACATCGATAAAGTGAAGATTAGATTTGTTCGCTGAATCTGAAGAGAGGATTCTTTATTTAGAACATCACCGTAACGAAACGGAGATCTATTTATTCTTTAAGAACTTTTGCCCCGATTTTCTGAAAGGTTTCGTATAGATGAACTGCGATTTTGCATCAGTGACGCTAAATAACTCGAACAGTTAAATTAGAAGATCACTCTGCTTACGAAAATGCAAATTAAATTCGATTCTCTCGAAAATGAGAGTGAAAAAGATATATTTATACAAAATATAAAATTATTGAAATGTACAATATCACTTTTGTAAAAAAAAAAAAAAAAAACTCTTGAAATTACTTGAGTGACAGCAGAATTTGATTCCCTTCAATCTGCAAAGAAACAGATTTCACGATCTGCATTGATGACGAAACCTTAAATAGACGAAAGAAATGATTCTATAAAAAAAAAAAAAAAAAAAAAAAAAAAAAAAACAGACAATACAGCTATCAAAAAATCGTATCCAAGCCAATATTTTCATTAACTAAATCACAGTCCGATCTGCATTCCATGATCGAAAAATATAACGACCGTCAAATCGCAGCTCACTTCAACAAAATTTCAGTAATAATGCACAATTCGTCTACAGTGAATGACTGAATCATCATCAATCGTGAATTTTAGATCACAGTTCGTTGACCGTATGTTCGAATTCGAACACGAGAAATAAACGAGATAAGCAAGATATTAACAAGTCTATGGTAGTCGTGTATTAACAATACGAGCGAATTCTACGTTACTCCATCACTTCATTTGAAATCACATCTATATAATTATAATTGTAATCGTAATTTCGCAACTCTTGCGCAACAGTCTATGCCGTAGTTTAATAAATGGGCGTATAAATATCGTTCAAAAAGAGGAAAAAAAAACGTAAAAATAGAAAAATAGTCACGAAACTAAGTCACATGCGAAAGTTGCATCCTTTTTTTAGTGATTGTTCCAACATTATTTCTTTCTTCTTTTTTCCATATCATCAGGATTAATGCAACTTTTTATTGCACAGAAGAACAACGCGATAATAACCCTTTGCGTTCCTTGTGACTTCCACAATATTATAATAAATCTAATAATAAATGTGTTACAGTAATTACAATGATGCATTTTGTTTTTTCTTCTAGATCTCTTTAAAACCAGTGTACATATAAAATAATATTCGATGGCAATGTCAATGCTAAAATATAAAAAGAATAGTATTGAAGAAAGTATTGTGAAGAAAGCTTAGCGAACATTAGCTTCGACTAATGTGACACAAAGATAAGTCGAACTGCAAAGGATTAGTGAAAGAAAGAAATTTTGTTATTATATATTATCTGCGTATAAAAAAAAAAAAAAAAAAAACAACGACCACGCGATACACAAAGAAGTGTTAGTTTGAACAGTATTATATATACCTTTACAAACACGTACACTTTCAAATTCATATTAATAGTACACTTGTGTTTCACTGAACACTCTCAATCATTTCACTACACACATTTTTCCTTTTTTCTCTTTTCCTCTTGTTTGTAATTTTTTTGTTTTTTTTTTTTTTTTTGTTTTACTTTTATTCGTATTTTATTTAATTTTTTTTTATCGTTTCTTAAGTAACCGTGTAAGTTTCTCTAGCCCTTTCACCCATTTACACAACGATTTGATTTAATATGAACACAACACGCTTTACATCACCCTTTCTCCGAGACCCTTTGCCAGCAAAGGAATTCTTTTAGACTATTTCGACGAGATTTGTTCGCAAGAAAATCGATTAATTGGTTGTAGGTACTGTGACACGTAAAGAATAGGAAAAAGAACAAGACTGAGGAAAGCTATCCTTCTTTTTCTTTTCTAATTCTTCTTGAGCATACGTTAATCAAAATCTGTCGACGTTTGACCATAAGCGCAAAACATGATTACCTTTTCATTTCTGAGCTGGCAGTGTTTCGTGCATTAAACTTCACGACAACGTTTCCCTTGCTTCCGTCTTCTTCTCCTTTCGAGGGAAAAAGAAAGTTTCGGCACGAAACAAAAAATTACTGATGATCTTCAAAATGACATCTTCAACAACATATACGACTGCTATATGTATTTTTTTGAAATATACAGGATAAAGAAGATGGTTGTCGTGAAATTTCATGATGGTTGTCTTTTCTCTTCTCAAATTCCAAGGATCCTACTTTGAAAATATCTCAGAATGAAGTAATTCTCAATTGATTCGATAAAGAGATGGTCCTTAATTAAAATGCTCATTTTAACTAAGAACGCCAAAGTCGTCTAAAGATTATCTCTTTATCGAATTTATTAAGAGCTGCTTGATCTTGAGATATATTCTCCAAAATCGCAAACTCGTCTTCGTGAATTACTTCATCCCTCCAAGGTCCATGCGGCGGACCTCGTGAAATTTCTAACGTTTTATTTACTCTTGAACGAAGGCTCACATTCATTTAACTACTCTAAGGATGCGCTACAGGTACAAAGGTGGAAAGATCAAAGTATGATAATTTTTAACACTAAGGGAATAGAGATCGTACGTTGTCATGCTGCTACTTCTACCATTCACAAACTGAAAGGGAGAAGAAGAGAGGATAGAGGCAAAGGCGAAAGTGTGTTCCTTTTGATCGAAGATTCATTCTACGGGAATCTCCAGCCACTTCTCCTTTTCTCCTTAATCAATGATGGTAATTAATGATGATGTACACATTAACCACTGAGAACACACAAAGTTAATTCTAAAATTGAATTAATCAGCATAACATATTATGCTGAGAAGAAGACAATTGGAGGGCTGGAAATCATAGTTTTGTAAGTCCTGTCCAAGTCATTAAAAAACGTTGTCTGAAATTAACAAAGTGACGATTACAGATTATGATACTTGACTTGGGCAATGCTTCCAAGGATCGAACGAGAGTAAAAAAAAAAAAGAAAAAATCTAAATTTACACAGCCACGTAGATTTCCAGCCAATCAAGTCGATTACTCAACGTAAAAGAGAATGGAGCAAGAAGTGACTGCAATTACTACCCCTACTTTGGAAAGTCTACCTCTGAAGTCCACTACAAGGCAGGAATACTCCGTACGAACGTTATTCCGGTGGCGGAGGTGGCGGCGGTGAGGAACTAGGAGGTGGTCCGCTCGGCAATGGCGGCGGTGTCTTAGGTTCTTGCCGAGCAGACGGGACTGGGATCATGCTTTGACTTTGTCGCATATTCTGTGGCAAGGACGGTGGCGGTACAGACGTATCAATAGCACCATCTGATGTTATAATGACGTTACCCGCCGGATACATCGGATATTGTTGTTGATACTGCGAATAGTACATAATGGGATCGTAAACGTATCCGGCAGGATTGAACATCGAGGGCGGCGGGTAATTAGCAAAAAAATAAGAATCCGGTTGGGATTGATTTACGTGGCCAGCCCTCGAGTAGCCTGGATCACCACGAGCCGAGGATGCATGAGAGTGATGTGGATTACGGACATTGTTACTATTGTACTCTTGATAGTAGCCGTCGCGCTGGCCGGGAGCATTGTAATGGCCCGCCGATCCTGCTGGTGGTGGACCACGCCCGATATACTGGCGGCCGCCTCTACCGCCTCCACGTACCTTATTATTGCTGCCTGAACTATAATGTCTGCCATTTTGCCGTTCGCCTGGCCGGTGTTGCCCGTAACCCGCCGAGGTAACCTGCGATTGCTTCTTCGTCGGTGGAACACTGGTCGTTGGGCTCTCCTTCATTTCCGAACGATCGCGCTTCCGGCTCTCGTTCGTGAACTCTGGAACGATACTGCTCGAGCTAGTCGTAGTCGTCGAGGGTGTACCGGAACTCCTCGAGATTCCATCTGTCCGAATTTTAATCTTTAACGGACCCTGTACCACCGACTGACCTGGCGAATTGGACACACTGTCCGTGCCCTTTAGCCGTTCCTTTGGAATAATGATCTTGATGCTGGTGTTCTGAGGAGACTTGTTTTTATCAGGCGGCACCGTACTACCACCGCTACTATTCGTCGACTCGGTGCTCAGGTTTAATTTATCTTTCGGAATTGTGATTTTAATGGGTACCGCGGGCACGGTGTCCTCACTTTTTTCCTTATCCTTTTCCCGATGTTTCTCCTTATCCTTGTCCTTATGCTTGTGCTTGTGTTTCTCTTTACTCTTCTCCTTGTCCTTGTGCTTGTGTTTCTCCTTCTTTTTCTTCTTCTCGCTCTTGTGGTGCTCCGATCTTTTCTCCTCTGCCAGAGGAGCAACGGTTATGGTGGTTGACGTCGGAACAGAAAGAATAGATTCCGTGGTAGTTTGCACAGGAACAGAGAGGATACTTATATCTACAGTCGAGGCAATCATCGGTTCACTAACCGTTGATAAGGACAGACACTGACTTTGAACAGGAACAGGTTCCTGTTGCGTGAGCAACATGGAATGAGATATGGGTGGCTGATGTTGAAGTTGCGAAGATGATGGTGGTGGTGGTGGTGGTAGTGGTAGTGGTGGTGGTGGTGGTGGTGGCGGCGGCGGTGGTAGTTGTTGTTGTTGTTGTTGCTGTTGAAGTTGCTGTTGCTGTTGAAACTGTTCCTGATGAATTTGTTGTTGCGATTGCATTTGACTAAATTGTTGAATATTTTGTAATAACGATGGCATCGGTGCTAAAGGTTCCTGAAGCAGGGCACTTATACTTTGAGCAGATTTCAATGGTGATAAATATTCACTTTTAATCTGAGAGTGTTCAACTTTTATCGGCAAATCTGTTTTGTAAGTTTCCTTCTTGATTTGATATTCTTGAGGCTCTTGCTTGAGTAGATTAGTGTCCAATCCGTTCGTTAAACCCTGCTGATTCGAAGAAATGTGTTGCTGTACAGTTATCGTGCCAAAACGCGACATCGTCAGCTCAGAGTCGAACGGTTTGATGATCTCCGGTGGTTTCATATCGTTCGCGATTTGAGTGGCTCTGCCGTTCGCCGAAGGATTGTCTTTTATAGGCGGTATCAGTTCTGGTACTCTACCGAGCGTTTTAGTTGTCTCGAAACTGGTATCGTCCGTTTTTACTTTTGCTTGCTGCCCGCTTTCGCTACTCGTGCTAGCCGTACGATGCCTTTTATGGGACGCTGTGGAAACATCGTTTGCCGATCTTTTGTTCGATTGTGCTTCTTGCTGCTGCAAGCCTGGCGGGCTTGCAAAAGGCGATACTAAATTAAAGTTTATCGACGAATCTGATACGCGTTCTTGTTTAGGAACTTTTGCAGCCGAGGGCGGCGTCTTTTGCTTAGTCTTAGACCTCTGTGAATGAGATTCCCGAGGCGTTGGTACTTTCTCTGGACTGAATAGCGATTTCGGCTTGCCAGAGGGGGTTTGTAATACACTCTGTTGGATATCGGACGAACTCTTGTCTATGTCATCGTGTCGTGGTCGTTTCTCAGTTTTTGGATCGTCGAGATTGTTCAATGACGATAAACTCGACAATTGAGAATTATTTCTAATAGTATCCTTCAATATCTGAGACACGCCGTGAGCTGTATGTTGACTGGATATTGTCTTTGAAGTTAAAGATTTCTGATTAAGTAGTGAAGTTGAAACGGAGCTGGTTGGAGACTTTTCTTGCGTAAACGAACTCTGGCTAGTACCAAGCTTCATATCAGTCGGCATTGCCCCAGAACTAATTTGTAATTTTTCCGACTGATTGTATTTTGTATGATGCGACGGCTTCTGTGCATTCGAACTATATGGTACATCGAGTGTTGGTTTCGGCGGAGGTAATGGCTTTTCGATGAGCTTTCTAACCTCCTCGCACCTCTGCTCTAACGTATCAGACTTTCTTTGTCGATCGATTCTGGTTGGATCCGGATATTTGTATGGCTTTTGTTCACTATCTTTCCTATGTTCTACAAGTTTATGCCTTGGATCATATATTCTTTTGTCATGACCCTGATGTTTACTTTCTACTCCACTTGATCTGTGCACACTATGATTATTATTACTAAGTTTTTCTTGTATATTCCCGTGAGAAGTTGGCTCCTGTAACGATCCGACATCCGATCTGTGAGTAGCGGAATCGGTCATAGAACTATCCAATGTTAATTCTTTCGGTACGGTGTGACTGTGAGAATGGAGAGCACTATTATTACTACTACTACTGCTACTTGTACCAGTGTTTGAATTGTACTCTCTTTGTAGCCTCTGTCTATTGGGATCGCGATTTGGTTCCCTAGCTTGAGTACTACTCGAGTGCCTCTGAGGTACTGGTTGTCCAACTTTTATATCTGGTCTGTGATGATGATTATGATGAAGCGTCTTCTGTCCAAGAGGCAACGGATGTTTGTTCAGCACGTTTGTACTAGATACAGGTTTATGGTGATGAGAATGATGCTTATTAATATCCGACACATGACTTTGCGGAACCGACGGTGGAACTGATGCCTTCTCTCTTTCCAAACGTTCGCGTTCTTTCTTTTCCCGATACTCTCGATAATCTACAGGAGGTCTCGCAGACACAGGTGCATTCTGTTTCTTTTCTTCTTGTTTCTCCGTCTGATGAGGACGATTCGTATGAAATGTAGGTCCACCATCGGCAGTCGTCGCTGGAGACTGTACTTTACGAGGTTCCGCATCCTACACAAAACATTGAATTCTGGATTATCTAATGAATTCTCTAGTCTAATAAATTATCTAGTTAATAGGATTTAATATGATGTTACTTAATATGATAATAATACTTACAAATGGTGAGTTTGGTAAACTAGGATGATTAATGCTTGGACTTTGATTAGCAGATATGCTCATTATTTTCCTTTTCAATCTTGACGGGCACTTATCAAATATGTGAAGGAATTCTGCTGTAAGCTCTTGTAATAGTTCAGATGTCACAGTTCTGTCGACGTACCAGAACCAATGCTTTCCTTCCGTGCTCTGGGGTATCTATATGTAATAATAAACAATAAATAATCATGAAATTGCAATTAATCAGACGCTTTCTGTGATAAATTTTAATAACACTTACCTCCCAATTAGACCATTTACATGCGAGATGAATGCAAAAACAGGCAACTACCGTTGGCTTGTACTGCAGACACATGGTTGTTAAATGCAAACTGAAAAAGAAAGTTTTTTCTATAAGTTAATATGAGAACATGCCTTCATCAATTTCTTTTTTTTTTTTTTTTAAATATATCCCAGGGCATAAAAAGAACTAGTTCCATTAAACGTAGGTAATATCAGGATAAAATCAAGATGGAACTTTATGATTCGTTGAAAATAATTAACAATATATTCAATTATAATATTTCCAATATTTCGTAAACGGAATTTAATTCCAAAGAGTACGTTTCCAAAACAGTTAAAAAAATAGCAAGTGTAAATGTAACACTCTGTCGCAATGAGCTACACAAAAATTTGACTAAAGTAAATGTAACACTCTGTCGCAATGAGCTACAGATACAACTACAATAAGCCTTACAACACTCTGTTATATCGCAGCAAATTTGCCGAAGTTTGTCCTAACATGATTCCACATTGGAGAGAACATTAAATTAGTTATATAGATTATAGAAATTAAGTATTGAAATCACTAGAGGAACGTATCATTTCAAGTAAATAAAATAATTCATAATTTTAATATATTTGCTATTATTTATAAAAATTATTTTTTACTAAAAAAAAAATTATGCAAATATTCAAGAAGTGAAAAATTTCTTTGTACAGAGATAAATTAAGGCTTAATCTACAGAATCAATTATTGCATTGCAATTATAATCTGTTCAAATATTATTGATTGAATAATATTTGAATGAATTATGAACAAACTATGTCGTCAGAATGAACTAATAGAGTAAAATATAACTTAATAGTACGGCTTTCTTTTTCATCATTGACGAGTAAATAACCAAATATTTTTTGTCATTCACTCGTCAATGCAATACTTCCACATTTATTTCATTCACGTTTAATTTATTTTGTGCATCTACAGCTTAAAAATAAGTGTATGTAAATATAAAAATAAAAATTGGACAATATATACCGTAATGTAAGAGAAAACGATCAGTCCATAAGAATATTTCATTTACCTTCGATTAAGCCATTCCCATCGTGAACTTAGTTTACGAAATAAACTTCGTTTCGCTTTGGCATACGTTCTCTTTAGAATCAGACATTACCGCGACTGCAACGCAACATTCCTCCCCAAAAGTTATTGTTGACATTTAAACATTCACATTAGAACTCATGAAAAAATATGAAATCAAAGTAAACTTCTGTAGACTAAAGTTTATCGAATATTTAATCCTTTAATATTTCAAACGTTCTTTCTGAAGCAAAAAATTGTGATAGATCCTTCTATCATACGTCAAAGATATTTGCAAAATTTTATTCTACGTTTACTTTGCTTTCTAAGAAAAACATAGGTCAAAATGTTGCGCCAGTGGCTATTGCCTGATATTATAGCTTGGAAATATACTCCAGCTGGCAGCTATTTGACCAGAAGACTGCTAAGAGTAAGAGATACTAGCAAATAATATGTAGCCACCTGTTAGATGCCATGAAGTATGAAGTCTGGGCTAAGTCCTTGCTCGCTGTAAAAAAAAAAAATTACAGTTGAATAAAATTTTTTATAAACCTAAAGTTTTAAGAATCTAAACTTATCATTACAGAATCAGTAACTTCATAGAAAATATAAGAAAAATTAATATTACACAATTCTTTATGAACATAATTTATGTACCTTTAACCAGGTGACAACATTTAACAACATGTGTATGGGGATGATCAATGGCGACATCAAACCCCAATGTTTGCAGTAGAACATTCTCATTAAACACCAGATCTTGAGCTTGCTCAAGGTATTGCTACAAACCAAAATATATTACAACAATTAAATTTATGATTAACTCCAAATACATTGATATTGATACAAATTTCTCTACTTTACCTCAGATCTGACATCAGGTGGGGGCTGATCTCTGTGGAGACACATGTGTGCCATTTTGATAACATGTTCTAACTTGCGTGGTTGTTCTTCGACTTTTGCTGCTAAAAATAGTGCTGCTGCTGCAATTGCATTCCTGTGAAAATGTGACAGCGAGTGGAATACGTAAAATCTGTGCATATACACTATTGCCGTGTTGATGCATAATTGTGACCTATATTTATTTAATTAAGGAATACACTCAATAAATAACGTACTATTAAACAATAATTATTCTCTTTTATAAACTATTAGTATGACACTTTTTGTTATAGCTTATAGAAAATAAAAATATTTTCTATCTTATCACATAAATTTATTGTTACGTATAATTATTTCAAAGTAACACTTAAATTAGTTACTGATATTAACTATGAATTATGAAACATGTAGACAAAATAATAAAAGTAATTACCAGATATTTTTTTATTAAAATATTAATTTGACCTTCACGAAATAATTAATATAAATAAAAAACAATGTGTAAACGTAATTAAAACAATTCTTATTCAAATTAATTCGATAATTTTAAATTATTAAATTAAATGGTAAGATTAAAAAATGGAGGGCACAACAGATTATATGTAAACAATTTTATTTAATCTATATATTACATTAATATGAAAACTTGATCAAACAAATCACATAATTTTGATCCATATTCTTGATTCAATTTATACAATTTTTAAAATCCTTCTTCATTCGTGTTTTCTACTATATTATAATATTCATATCTCAGAGCATTTGTTATTTTACTAAAAGAAACATATACAAATAAAGAGTTTAGAACAAGTTACAATACAAAAAACAAGAAGAATACAAAAACAATTATTACACTACATATTAAATATCATTAATCTATTTTATGTACTATAATTATTACACGTGCATTATAAAAAGTAAAATGACAATATACTAGTATGACTATTTCAGAGTCCCGCAACATTGTGAACATTTAATTTGAAATAATCTGAAGACTAGGTTGAAGTGCTCACAATTGGAAAGATAATTAATATGTTTATGATCTTTAAATACATATCTGAAACATAAAAATATTATAGGAAATAGAAATAGAATTTATACATACTACAGTGGAAAAATATACTTAAAATATTTCTGAAATAGAAAGTATTAGTAAATATATAATTCTATTAGTAAAAGTTTGTTGCAAAACTAGTAGAAATTTTATAGTTAGCTAATGTGAGTTAGTGTTATATTAAGTTTTACTATATTACTTCTTATAAAAGTAAAATAACAACTGATCTGTAAATAATGAAATTGGTCAAAGAATCATCCAAATTTTGCTACTTTGGTACAAGGTTTTGAGAATGAAGAATATTATTTGTACAAATATTCAAATTGTCCCCTCTTTGTAACTTTGGTCCATTACTTTTATTATCCTGTACACTCATCTAAAGAAACAATGCACGATAGAGCATTGATGAACTACCTATAGTCCCAATCTGATTTTAAACGTACATGTAAGTACGTACGTGTACATGTATGTATATGCAAGATATACACACATAATTAAAAATATGACATCATATATTTGTATAAAAAAATATAAGCAGAAATTATTATTTTGATGGTGTTACTGCCAAACTTAGTGTCACAAACAATACTGTTCTTTCATGACCCTGTTCTCTGCCTTCCTTACAGATATCACAATTCTAATAGACACTTTCATTCACTTGCGTCGCTCTATCGTTAATACAAATACAGCAGCACAAAAATTCCAAAATTCATCGTATATCAAAGCTAACATAATGAAGTTCAATATGGAGAACCGTAATCGTGACGCGTGACCTCTTCTTTCGCACGTCACTCGTGTTTACAACGAATTAGGATTTTCACGTGAATACCGACTGAATTCAAGTATGAAAAAATGAATGTGCAAAGAGAACGCAGTCACGTAATTGTACATAATGATGCGGGAATGATTCAGAGTTGATGAAAGGAGTAAAAGGGACGTGAAATAATGAGGATAGGGGGAAAGGGAGATTGAGAAACACGCAACTCGTATACTCGTCAAAAGGATACACCACGAGCCGCTGTCCCATATCCTGAATGAAATTTGCTGCCTGCTGCCTGTAGCTCAGTTCCTTATCTGCATCGATGCCACATCTTCTGCTCGGAGTATTTGTTAGTTGTTCTTTCGTAAAGTACCATTTTTCGTCCGTCGCCATTTATATGTACACAAAACTCGGTACTAACGATGCGCACTTCACAGCGATCAGCTATGGCGGCGAGCACACAATGCACAATAGTAACACGTTGAGAACTCACGTCACTACGCTAACCGGAAATTCCCCTCCAAGTTCATACTCGTTCGACTTTTCACAGTAAAACATAACCATACGTTAGTCGTCAAATAAACCGTCGTAATATACGTTGTATATTATTTCATAAACAATTAAAATCGCCTTTTCTGTTAATTATTTTTTTTTTTGTTCACTCTATGCAACTTCACTCGATGCTTTTACGTAAGAAAGGTTCCATTTTGAATTCCGGAAATAGCAATAGCATTCATTTCATACGCATCTAGTTTCACGGCACTGTTTTGGAACCGTGGCAGCAGATGAAAAACCAACTTCGAAAATTCCTTTGTAGATGATCTCGATGTTTTATACGATAAGACGTTTTATAACATAAGATTGTCGTAGAGTTTAGAGGTTGATACGAAACTTCGATATATCATTAAAATTCGGTTATGGACGTTTTATTCGTTTTATTTTACAAAGTTAACCTTTCTCCGTATTATAATAATAGTCAAGAATTAATAGAATCAACGTTTCGATAGTTGCATCACAGTAACAATATTTATCTTTTAAGATTTGTTATAAAAACCGCTGCGTTCTTTGTGTAAAGTTGAGTAGATTTGCTTTTATAATTTTGACGAGAATTTAAAGCTCGACAAACAACCATTCAAAGTAATTAATTATATACGACATTAATTAATGTACGGAAATATCTCTTGCATTTATCATTCTCATGTTATCGTAGACCACATTAAAAAAAACTTGATTTGCGAATTTTTGGCAGGCTATGAGGTTGGTTATGGAAAGAATTCTATTATTTGCTTTTTTAAACTGTTTCAATTATAACAATAAAGGTGAAAATTCCGTAATGTTTAAAGTGTTACTTAACCTTGTCACAATTTTACACACTGACAAAGTTTTTTCATTGAATCGAAATTGTAAGAATTGTTATTCCTGTTGCTATGTTGCACAAGATATTGCAATTTTTTCTGAAAACTGGATAAATATGATAAACTTTTATTCAGATTAATTTAAATTAGATGCTGATATTTTTGACAACGAACATGTTGTATTGGTTAATCGCAAACACACGTGCGTACTGAAAAATCAACTTTGCTAGTACTTTATGACCAACGTCATAACCTACCTGAACTTTTCTCAGTCTACGATAGGTATGAATCACGTAGTTTATCAATTAGAAGTTTTAGAGCTTTAAACTCCCGGAAGTGACGTAGTTGGGCTAGCAGTATGTGCACGCAGCCAATGTTACCCCTGTAGCAGCGTCCCGTTATCTTGGTCCTATTGAAGGATCCAGTGTGCTGTCTTTCGAGTTATTTACTATTTATTTGCATATAACTTCAGGCTTGCTTCACAATTACGACTAATTTACATTTCACGATCCTTCTTTCATTCTCTTGAAATATCCAGAAGTACGCTAACGGTGACAAGCGTGATTCGATTGGCACTGTCTTTTCTTCACGGAAGAATTGATGTAAGAAATCACAGTAAGTTTCTAAAAGTATTATGCTTCGCGGCTTTTTTAAGTCCCGCTCAGTTTCGTTTTATTCGAATTTTCACAAAAACCAATCACATGTCCGTCTCATTCTTTCGAAATCCGTACATACATCAATGAGACTTCATTCAACGTCTCACGTATAAAATGGCGGTGGCTACCACTTGTTACAAATATGTATTATATTACAATTCTTGTATAAAATAGATGGAAATTTTAATGTTTGTAATATTTTATATATGCTATTATTTTTATATATATGCTATTATATTTAAAATATTATTCATTATGAAAATTATTTCCAAGTAATAAAATTAATGCAATTGTTCTGATTTCCGATGTAAGTTATGGCGCTAAATTTGAAATTACAATATGAATGTACTAGTTTTAAATTTCATTCTCAGAAGAACATTTTGCAATTGTTTCTTATATATCATAAAAATTTTATTTAAGTTTTACCATTTCTATTTATTTTACAGGTAAGTTATGTTTCGTATCCCCAAAGCAACAATGCCTGTGACTATTGTAGCCACAAAAAAGCAAAAACAAATGCAAACATGCTTATATTCATCTTATGAATGCTCACAACCTTGTCTTGAAGGATTTAATTATTGTGCCAAGCATATTCTCGAAGACCCAAATGCACCTTATAAACAATGTGGCTTTGTATATAATACTAATGGCAGAAAATGTCAGAATCCTGCTCCAATATTGGACAGAAGAGATATTTCGTATGTGTAAATCTGAATTTAATGAATTATTATATCTTTTAAGTTATATAAAAAAAAAATTATCTTTAATATGTGCTTATAGATATTGCACTGAACATACTAGAAAAGCCCAAATAGCACGTATAAAATCAACAGCAAGACATTCTTTACCACAGACACCTGAAATGCTTTTACTTAATTTAAGTCATTATGTTAAGAAAACAGATTCAAGTACTGAAGAAACCGAGGATGAAGAAGGAAAAGTTAAAGCATTAGATCCTTTCAGTAAGTTTTGATCTAATATTCTATTGACAAATAAAATAAAATAGATTTTTAATGTGCAAATCTTGTTTATAAAATTATGTTTAGCTGAAGTTGATGCATATAGAGTAAATGCAAGTGGATGTGATATTCTGGATTATGCAAGTTCTTCTGATAGTGACATTGAACCTACAACAGTAACTGATACTTTAAGAGGAAGTTATCTTGATGATAGTGACAATGAAAGTTTATATAGTGCACAAGAAGATCCTCTAAAGTAAGAATATATATGAATACTTATGATACTTTACTTGGTTTCTTTTTGTAGAATGTAAGCTAGTTTGCTTTGGCTTGAGCAAATTTTAAAACTGGTATTATATCAGTTGCCTTTATCTTTACTTACTTTCCTTTTGTAGTTGCTTCTTGCAAAAATAAAACAGTAATTTCTATGGAATCATTAGTATTAATTTTTTAAGGCATGCTGGAATTTTTACTGCTGAGGAAGTGATCTACATTGCACGGGAAAAATTAATTAGGTTGCAATCACTTTACATAGATCAGTATAGAAGACTCCAATACATATTAAGAGAGAAAAGACGAAAGTATTTACATGCACTTAAAAAAGAAAAGGAAACATTGTGTAGCATACACGACCAACCAAAGGAAACTGCAAAAGAAAAGAAAATTTATGAAAAATTAAAAGCTTTAAATCGTTATCATAGAAGAAGCGGAGTTGAAGCTATATTATATAGAAAATCTTTAGAACGCAGAGCACAGGTAATTACAGTTTTATTATTTTAATTTAGGGGACGCGTTCCTCTGGCCTTAGTCCTACAGCTAGACCCAATACAGGTATAAATGTAATATGAGGGACGCATCCCTGGGCAGTACCATTAGACCCATAAAGCAATTGCGAAAATTACTTTATAATAAAATTACTTACTATAAAGAATATACAATTATACAATTCAACATTTATTCAAAAACGTTTCAGTTTGTCCGACTCGTTCAATAGCTTGTACAGAATTGAATTGACTTCTTTCTTTACTTCCGAGTCTTTAAATAGCACTCACTTATAGTGTTTATAGTTTTCAGGTAGCACTCTTATTTCTTGTAGGGATTTCGCAATTCCTAGAAGGTCTGAAGATCCTTTGTGTTTGTTTTGTGTTTTTCTTTAATATGAATTTTATGTACTACCGACTTTCTTTACATTTATGGGTCTGATCTTTGCCTAACAGCACAGTTTGGCCAAAAATGACTTACCAAAGAGAGTCGGCCTTATACGCATAATACGCATAGTAATAACATGAAAGTACACATGGTAGCACATAATAGTAAACATTAGTAAGTCATGATATAACGAAGACCACACTCACTGCTGGCTCCCAAATTAATTAATACAATATATTAAATTTTTATATTATTTTATGCTACTAATACATAACATATGATGATAATGAAAATTATGATTATTTTTCATAGGCAACTGAAGGACCTGCACAAAAAATACCAAGTATATCAAAATGTATCTTTACAGAAGGTGGAGTAAAATGTGGAGAGAGAACTCTTCCTGCTGCAAAGCATTGTCGCAAACATATTCTTAAAGTAAAATAATTTTATTTAATTATGTAATCATAAAAATATCAAAACTATATGAAATATGTTAAAAAATTTATTATGTTAATAGGATCAACATCAAGTTTTATTTAAAGCATGCGGAGCAGTTCGAGCAGACATAGAGTGTCATGAACCAGTACCTGTAATTTTTGATACAAATTGCGTATTTCATATGAATTTACCATCTGAATGTAAATTAGAAACTATGAAAGTAAGTATTTAAGCAGATTTTTCTATATATTAATGAAAGTAACACAACAATATTAATTGCATTTTTATTACACAATACTTAGTTTAAGGAATCAAAATCTGAAGCACGGGAAATATCAGCAACAGGTAGTCACTCTATGGAAATTGATGTAGTAGGAGAAATTCAAGAAATTGATCCAGATGATGATATGGCAGGATTAATGAGAGAAATGAGTGATGCAGCACACATGAAACCAGTATTCAATGAAAGTTTAAATAGTGAAGCTAGCACAGATACAGCTTTTAGTTTATCAGCACAAATGAGTGACAGAGATGATCTTGTTTCTGTGTGACAAGTTATTTTTCATGACTTCAAATAACATAGAATATTAATGTTTATTGTTATATAATTGTATACTAATTTTATTTATGAATTTTGTTTCACTGGACTTCTATATTAAGTGCCTAAACATGCACATTGTATGACGACAAATATATGGATATAATTTATAGTTTTATGTATTTGTGTATATAATTACCAAGTATCATCTTCATTTGTACAGATATGATCCCCATTTTTTCATTGTAAAATTTTAAAAATAAAAAAAAAGATACAGATTCTTGATGATCGTTTTGTTTCACGTTATTATCCTATTTTTTCAATGAATTATTATTTAAATATTATTTTTGTTAATACTGTATTTCACTTGATACTAAACTTAAGAAGATGCAATGTTTATAAATAAAGGATTAAATTTAGTATCTCAGAATAACTATTATTAAAATAGTTATTAAAGTTTATTACAGTAAATAAGAACAAATTTAAAAAAAACAATAAAACATTTTTTTTAAATAATATAACAAATTTACTATTTTTATGTAGATTATATGTAAAAAGAAATTAAAATCTTTCATAGGATACATAATAATAGGATATAAACATCTTTCCAAAAACTAACGTTTATGTTTTGCATTTAAATTTTTACAAAAAGCGCAAATCATTTAGTTAAATACATTAGTATTAATATAAGATGTAATGTAAGAAAGTATTTCGCTTACAAGAATATGACGTTTTTTTTCAATTTTTTTACATTTTCTGTAAAAAAATACATTGTTATTGATCATGGTAATAATCATTAACATACGAACAAAATAAATGTAACTTACAATAAGTAGATGAGGTTTTATCATAATTTGGTTGTTTAAATAGTATGTTTTTTTAAGTAATAAAAAAAGTATACGACATATTTCGTAAATGAATCTTCCATTTCAGTATAGTGATAAATGCAGTGTAATGCAAAATAATTGTATGACATTGACAAAATTTTGTTTAAAACACAATTTTAGGAAATTGAAGATATTTCAATATTTTTATAGTTATAAATAACAATTGCATTTTTTTATGTAAATACAGCTAAAAATATTTGAAATTTTAATTATATATTATCTTATAACATGCAGATATGTACATATAATTGTAAATAATTACCAATCCAACAATTGATAATTACTATGGCAGTATAAGAGTACTTTAAAATTTTAATATATCCAATCATTTTGAATAATGATTTACCGCCTTCGTTTATCTGCGTCTATACTTGAAGAATTTACTTTGTGCACAAGCTTAATTATAGTTACATAAAACTAGAATATGCTGTGACATTATCAGTAATCACCATATTATTTGTTAGTTATTGAAACAAGAATTTAAATATATGCACTCTCTTTGTGGTATAACTTTTAAAACTTTGTGCAAATGAAAAATAATTGTAATAAAACAACTTGAAAGAAATAAGCACCAAAGAACAAATATTTTTATAATAGTTTAAAATGCATTTATGATCAATAAGTATCTAATTTTCTATCATTTCGTAAATAATTTGATAACACTGCTTTTTTTTATCTTATTATTCAACTAATATATATCTATTCCAACTTAAAATTATCATAAAGCATATGGAGCACTTTGTTAACTTTTATAGTAATACATTTATGGTAGAATTATGTATAACATTGATTCAATTACAAAGTATTTATCTGAAGCAGTATTTATCTGAATTATTATATCAAAATAAAGAATATTAAATATATCACAATTAAACTTAGACATTGATACATTGATAATTATAAAACACATACATATCATGTAAATGCCAGGCGTCTAATAACTAAAAAGATAATTTAGATTTTAATTATTCAACGCACAATTGTCATAACAGACAATACACATTCATACTGATTTGTTATCTAAATATAAAATCAAAACAATCATATTTGTAGAGAGTCAGGTAAATCAAACTAAAAATATTTTAATTAAAATAAATGTGTCAATAAAATAATAGCTACTCAGTTTTTGTACACAATTTCTTTTTATATCAACTTTAATATTACATTTCTCATTTTTTTACAATAATGTAATCCAAGTATCATTTACTATTAATAAACTTAGAAGAAAGAACTGCATGGCATTTTCACAGTTGATGTGATTTTTAGTAATAAAATATCAAAAACTATCCAGTAAAAATTGACTACAATTATCTATTTTTATAATAATCTATCAAGTAAATTGCAAAACGCTGAAATTTTATGCCTGAATTCTGACTGTTTTTATTATTTTCAAAGAACGCAATATCTCAAATATAATTTTTAATAAGTATACTTCAAATATTGTCGTTGCATTTGAATTATCTAACTTTCTTCAAGTTGTTTAGCTCATTTTTTCTTGTGCACGGAATATTCTTAGTATTGTAAAACATTTAGCATTTATTCCATTATAGTACCTTCTTAAGTATTTAACAACAAACTATGTTGTTATCGATAAGAAATCTTATGCTAAATGTAAGAAGAAGAAAAAGTAAATTGTTTATGTCATAGTAACAGTAAATATTGTTTCGGTAAGAATGCACAGTCAAAGTTTTATTGACTTAATTGTTGACTGTAAATATAGATCTAGGAAGTACTGCAAGCTTACCATCGTTCAAAAAAGTTGTCAGTCTTTGCAAATTTAATCGCTGAATATATTTTTCAGATCGTGTTCATAGAGCGCTATAATTAACATTATTCCAAGGCCACATAATAGCCCTAACGCTTGTAAAATACACTGCCATTGAGAGCTACGCTCCACAGAGTGACTTGAAGATAATTCTGGAATCTATGCAAACGTTTAATTTAATTACAATTAATTCGATGAATGTAAATTATATGCTACAAGAATATAATACTACTCACCATATCTACTAATGCTATATATATAAACATTCCTGCAGCAGCTGCAAACATCCAACTACTTATAGCAGGAGTGCTCCCTAATAATACACCAAATATCATACCGAACAAACAAAGTACGGAAGATAACAAATTATAGAAAACAGCCTGTTTAGCACTCATACCGGCTTTTAACAAAACTGCAAAATCTCCTGTTATGAATGGAATAAAATTGAGATAAAAATTCTAAATATAATACTTTATAAGATTATTTATCTATTATAAGTTATGTTTGCATAATACCTATTTCATGAGGTAATTCGTGGCAAAATACAGCTATTGCCGTGGAGAAACCACCTGCTATATTTGCCGAAAAGGCGGCGCCTATAGCCATACCATCTGTAAAGTTATGCAAACCATCACCCATTACTACCATCCAAGCAACACTAGACATAGATTCAGGCGCAGAATGAACATGACCTGGCAAAAAAATTTTTAAATCATAATTATCAAATAAATCAGATATAAAATGATATAGTTAAATAGTACCATGTGAATGAGTATGACCGTGATGTTTCATTTCATGTTCGCGTATAATAACAGTATAACTTTCTGATTCATTTAAAGGTATATCTGCACCATCCGCATTTTTCTTAGTATTTACAATTGAATCGTCTAATCTCCAATCTTCGCTTGGTTTCTTCTCCACATCATTTGTCATAATTTTTGAAACTGAATTGCAGTTTGATGTTAATGGTTTTTCCTCTTCAATCACAGGAGGCTTTTCATGATTATTATGTTGGCGATTATGATGATTATCTGAATAATAAAAATATTTAAATAATAATAAACATCATTAAAACAAATAATATAATAATAATATACCAACTATACCTTGATCTGTGCTAATTTCTCCATAACAATATGGATATGATGAATATTTGTGTTTGCAAAGTTTTTCTCCAACAACATTACTGTTTGGTCCATCAGTTTCTCTCATAACTCGAACACGTGACGGAAGCTAAAATTACGAACAATTTTCGTAAGTATATTTAAATGTTTACGTTTTATAAATGTATCATAAAAATTCATATATTTTAATATTTCATTACAAGTAGTAATTACTTTGTTACGACGTTGTCGAAGTTTTCTCCATTCTGCTAACATCGTTAAAGCTTTCTCCGTGAAAAAAAATAAAGCAAGACCCATCATTGCAATAAGCCCTTTCCACATATTCATATTATGTTCTTCTTTAAAATCTACTTCAACATGATCATTATGAATATGTTCATGAGTATGATGTGACATCATTGCCTAAGACAAAAATAATTCTTTCCTATGTAATAACATAATTTATTTTTCTTATGCTAAAAATTCACAGGATAATATCTTACATGTGGTAAAAGATGAATGAGAGCATCACCACATAATGTTCCTACAGCAAGAGCAACTAAAAATTGTAATAACTGATGATAATAAATTTTACCCATGAAAGGTATAACAGCTACCCCAAGTAAACCACAGAGACTGATTATTAGAATACTGATTGTTGAATAGGCCCACACTAAATAGGAAAGTCATGTACTTAGAATTCTACAGTACTTAAAAATATAAAATTGATATTATATTAATTATATACCTTGAACCATATTGCGAGTGATGTCTTCTCCATATTTATTAATTTTTATTAGTTTATAATTCTCGGGTACACGAATACATCCATTTCTCTCTGAACTTGATTCACCTGCTAGTTGATAAACAAGAGCTGGACACACGCGTTCAAAAAGCCAACTTGGTAATGTTGAATTATTATTAGCAACATATGGCATATCGCTTGCAACAGTACTTAATAATTCTTTACTACTTAAGCACTGAAATGGCGAGATAGCGAGAGTTTATAAGAAATATTTAATTATACAAGGAAAAAATTAATTTGAGTTTTCTATGATAGATTATAATTTTAATTGTTACAATTTCTTACCCTTTCTTTTTTAACTGCATTTTCATATTCTGGTAGGCCATTATTTTGTAAATTCTTTGACTTGTCTACACAAAAAGAAAAGGATTTATACTGGAAAATTTTATTTAATATTACCTACTATAAAAATATATGATTTTATAACAATAAATAGAATACGCTTAAACAGAACATATAGATGTTATATTATAAAATATGTATTTTGATAGAGAATCAAATAACAAGAATTTTATAATATGTCACTGATAATAGAAATATGTCAGTTATCTACTTAGAGGATAACATTACACATGATATGATTATTTAACCACTGGTATCTCATATAGTGAACAAGAACAATATTAAATTTTGCTTATTCATTCATTAAAATCTGCAAAATGGATATTATAAATTCTTTCTAATCTTTAATTATATTCTCACATACATATTTCATAAAACAGTACACTTATTTCATAAAATACCATAAATACATTTTAATATAGTTATAAGTAACAGTTCAATGAAATAAATATCTATGAATCAATTGAAAAGGAATTTGAACTCTTAAATTACACTAAATTATTGTGATCAAGATGATTCTCATATTGAATAAAGATAAAATATTATCAGCTTATATATATGAGAGCAGATGTAGCTTTATTTCTTATTATGATTGATAGGTTGGCTAATTGGTAATTAAAAGTGGTACACCATATATATGTATAATACCAATTGATCTTGAAATGAGTTCTTAAATATAAATTCTTAAATCAAAGAGAAATGCTTTTAATAATGACTTAATTATAGAAACTTACCCAGTGGATTTTTATTCTGACTAGTAATAATATTATGATTTTCTAAATTTGATGCATCTGTCAATAATCTTAATAGTCCTAATTTTTTTAACAATTTTTCAAAACCTTCCATGGTTATGCTTGTACCATCTCCATAAGCTTCAAAAATCTTTTTCATGAAATATTTTTCATCTATAATATCTACATTTCTTTTTGTTCTAATCCTGTTAAGAGGATTTTGATCTTTGTTAAATTGTGCTGCATTTAATTCACTATTGTACATGATTTCAATTTGGCCTAGCCTTTCTAATATTTCTATATCCTTCAAAGTTTCAGGATCTTTCTTTGCCATTGGATTATCGCTATTTTCAATATTTTCATTAACCTTTACATTTCCTGGATTTTCGTGTTTAGTATAGATTTCATTTGGTACCAATGAAGTAGTTTTGCTTCTGCTATTTGTATCCAATACATTAGAAAATTTAACAGCACCATTATTGTAAGCAAAATTATTTAAATTTAATTTTCTCACATCCTTTTGCTGTGTTTCTTTAGATTTTATTAATAACCAAGATGGTTGTAATTGTTCATGAGGTCCTAGCTGCTTCTCAGAGTTAACTGAATTATAAGTCGTCTGTCCTGTTGTTGAGAATTCAGTGTGTGCTGAACATGGAGTATGTGCAGCACATAAAACACAAACTACACAAACTGTGACAAGTGACATGTTGTATATCCTGAAAAATGAAATAAAAGATTTTGATTTAAATATAGTTAATTTATAAGTACATATATTGAAGTTTAATATTTACCAACCTTTATCATATTTTATCATGTAATAATGAAATAATATTAAAGTACGTTCAAACTATTTGTTACTCAGCATTATGGTCTACTCAAAAACTCATTACATCAGAGGATAGGCAATAGAATATTACATCAAATGGGAAGTAGTTATCTATGTAACAATCACAATGATAATGAATCCAATTATAGCTAATGTTATCATTGAGTTATACATTTTTTTAAAATAAGAAATTTATATTCAAAATATAGTATAAAATGTAACTAGTTGATTACTTAAGCTGTATCTTATAGATTTTATTATGAACAAATAAAAAATTATAAATAAAAAAAATTTAATATTTTTTAATATATGAAAGTTAAATACAAAATTTGCATTTTTTAATAATATAAATATTAAATAAAATGAGTATATTGTCGAAATCATAAGTATAAATTATACGATTCTTACAATAAAGATATTATTTGCAAATGTTAGTAATAATTTTAAAAAAATATATATTTAGAATATATTTTTTGAAGAATATGTATATATATATATATTCTTGATTCTTTTTTTGCATATTACAATCTTTAAAAAAGGAATTTTAAAAATATTATTTCTATTTATAAAATAGAATGAATGATTAAATTTTGATCAACACATTATTGTATATTATAGATATCAGTGCTACAGATAAGATGACACAAAATAAATATTTACAATAATAGCAATTGATCTAAACTTAAAAAGCAATTAATTCTATTTTGAAGAATAAATACATTTTTATAACAACAGATATAATAAGAATTAAAATTAAATTTAAAATCATCTCCTTAATTTAATAATTATTACAATATCGTATTAAGTAAAGAACTATTATTTTTGCCAAACTATCGTTATGTATTTTTTTTTTTCTTTTTTACTTCACACGAAAATTGTAAACGTCTAATTATAATTCTTATCGCATAAATTACAATTTCAAATAGAAAGGAAAAGTACAGAAATAAAAAATAGAAAACATCGCGCGTAAAAACACATCTAGCTATCTTGTCAACTTATTCTATTGACAGTGATATACAACGAATGAAAAGATTCGAAGCATATAATTTTGATTTAAACCGTGTATTAAATTCATCGCAAATTAAACGCTTATATTCAAATATAAAGCCAAAAAAAAAAAAAAGAAAATTGCGAATGCATAACAACTCTTCAATATGGGAATGTTAACCAACCAATACAAATATAATTAATCGCAACTCGTACAGAAACACATGATACAACGAGAAATGAAAAAGCGCGCATTTTATGAGGCAAAAATACGTGAACGAATCAAGATGCGTGCGTGATGTATTGTGTCCGAAATAGTCAAGGTATACGATGTTATGGTCGTTCCTTCAAAAACTGTATTTTTAGCTGTCAAAAAGAGGAGGAGATTCATGGATACAGCCCTCCTTACCCTACCCCGCATTTAGGATCCATGACAGAATTTAGAATATAGGTTAGACAGGCGGCCTCTTACTTTAATGTAAAAAAAAAAAAGACGTGTCAAGTTTTGGCTCGAGACCCGGTTGTTTTTTGTCAGTATACGATATCAAATGAACAGCCACCGGATTATACTGTAATAGCACACTGTCATGTAATTACCTTTATTCAATCAGTGAAACAAAATTCCCGCTAGGAAGTGGCATATGCTAATTGATCGAGACGCGCTCACTAGCTTGCGGAAAGCTCGCGAAGTCCCACGTTAACGTAAGAAGAATCTTTCGCTACTCTTGTCTCTGTCCCCTTTCTTCCCTCTTCGGCCAACCACCGATCCAACACTTCACCGCGTGCAACAAGTATACTCTGAACATAGCAGACTGGCAAATCTCGACAGGACCGACAAGTCCCGAAAAATCCTTCAACATTACGCAATCACTAGCTAGAGGCAGCACTATCGCAACTCCATTTTCCAGATTTCCAATTTCAAGTTACATTGTCAGCACTGTTGTTATAAAACGTCATGTTTAAACTTTGCAATAAAAATTCTTGTAATATTTAACAATAAAGATAAATGACGTGTTAAACTGAATATTAAATTATTACCTTGTATAGTACGAAATAAATGTAATAAAAAGTAAAAATTATATATTGCTTTTCAACATCGTTTAACAAATTAGCAATAAAAAAAATGAATATTTAATCAATTATTTTGTCAAAACAATTTATCAGGCGATATTAAAAATCAGCAATATCTCTTTTTAACCTCTTTTCCTTATATTCATTCTCTATTACCATTATATAAACATTTGAATTCCCGCTAGTATTTTCTTATTAATTCCCAAAATTTTATGAAGATTACGTTCTTTTACATATATCTTTATTTACATCTGAAGAAATAAATTCAGATAAAGATCAAAACTTTATTAAATGAAAGTTTTACATAAAAAATAACTTAATCTTCCTCTTCCTCTGGAGCAGCTCCTGCACTTCCCTTACGCAAGTTTTTCCTCTTGACACGGCCAGGTCTGCCACCACCAAACGGAGATTTCAATGAAAAGTCAATGTGCTTCTGTGAATCCAATCTCACAATAAAAGATGGAATGTTTACTACTTGTTTGCGCACTCTGAAACAAGAATACACATTTTACGTTTTATCTTTATACTTTCTAATAATATGTATTTTTAATACTTTTAAAACATCAATTTATGATTATATTTAATATATAAAAAATATACCAATTATTTTTAACCCAAATACGTTGTATCCACTAGCACCAGACAGACGTTAAGTGCTAGTTTCCTAACACTTAAGTGGCCTGCCTGAAAGAAAACATTAGTACACAGCATAGCACATTCTTGTACATCATAGCTAACCCAGCCAATATATATTAAAGTCGCACTTTTTTTTTGTTTTGATTGGACAATCAATCAGGAAAAGTGTTTGAATACCTGCAGTAGCCAAAAGACTATTACTTTCATGTTTTATAATCAACTAAAAGAAATTAAAAATTATGTTTCCAGTTTTGAAACCAAACAAGCAATATTTCTTATTTGGTGATTAAAATTGGATTTACTGTAGCCTTAAAGATTAGAAATTATCTGTATGTAATCAGATATTTCTTGCCCAATTTTTAAGGCATATGAATCTTTCTGTTCAGTGAGATTTACCTAATATGACGTTGGCGAATAAGTACACGAGCGTGATGAATAGACTTGGCAAGTCCCAACTTAAATACTTGAGTTTGAAGTCGTCTTTCCAAGAAATCTTCAATCTTCAAACCAAGAACGTAATCGAGTTTCATACGGCTTTCATCCAACACTCCAATTCTTACCAATCGACGCAAAAGAGCATTTCCTAACAAATATATGCTTTAATAAATAAAGGATAAAGTCTATATACATATACAGATAAAATTAACTGTATAACTTCATCAGTAAAAATAAAGAAATAACATCAAAATGATCAGACAAGAGGTGTCAGATGTGAATAAATTCATCATATAAGTCTATTCCAAAGTTTATTAAATAAATAGTAAAGTCGATTCAATACTTTACTACTAAATTGTTAAAAATTTATTCAATACCTTCAAACAAACGTTTGGGATCCTTTTCCTCTAAAGTAAGAAGTTCACGGGCAGCTTTTCGAATATTTGCTAGGGTGTATTTGACCCTCCATACTTCACGCTTGTTACGAAGACCATATTCACCAATAATACGTAATTCCTGGTCTAAACGAGCCTTCTCGTAAGGCCTCCTTGGAGTAACATAAGTTTTCGAGAAAACTGATGGTATTCGTCCGTTAACCATTTTGTACGGTCGTTACCTAATATATATTTAACAAAACGTTTATTTTTTTTAAATCTCAAAATACATATGGTTTTTACATGAACAAATTTATTACAACGTTGTGAAATTATATTTCTACATAAGATAACAAATATAAAATTTGTTGGAGCCACGTGTGTAAGGAACGTTAGAAAATGTAATTAGTCTGAAGAAAACTTTAGACTTAACTTGATGTAATTTAAAAGAAATAAATATTGACATTATTAGACGTTTGTATTGTAATTAGAATAAATTGAATGGAATATCTTCTAAATAAATTACATACCGTACTTGTTCCGTAAGAAACACTTCCGCTCGGTGTTACGCACAAAGCTAAAATGGCAGAGCTTTTACTCGGAAGTAAACTAATACAGATTACAGTTCTGAAACGATTGCAGCGCTCAAACAGGAAATTCACCTCCGATAGCGGGCTTTTTGAAAGACATTTTTATATAATATATAATATTTCTTATAAATACATAATATTTTTTGTAGTATTAAAGTTTAACATAAAGAAAACTTATAATTTTATCTCACACTGTCATATTTAAAATAAAAGACACTTTTTAGTTTACTTTATTATAATAGTATATTTGAGTAAAATATTAATAAAAAATAGACTTAAAAAGTAGATATTTTCTAATATTTTTTATTTTTATTTGGTAATTTCCTCTATATAATAAATTTAATAGACTAATTTCATTATTTAATTGGTCTTCATGTTTAATATCATAAATCTGTATTTTATTTATTGTTTTGTACGCTATTATAACTGTATTGGAAGATATATTTTAAAAATTTAAAATATATACGTTGCAAAATATTTGCCAGTGAAGTGTTTTTAATACAGTTTAATTGTGAAATGAAAGTTGGAAACAAACAATACATACATCACTGCTAATATGATTGGTAATCTCGCAGACAGATTTCGAAATAATGAATTGTTAGATAAGAATCAATTTTATCAATCGCGAAATATATTCATAGAATTTTGCATTCCTTCATATTGTCTTTATTGTCGTTGATCTATCTGTTTTAATTTTAATTTATTATTTACATATAAAATACATATAACTGATTATATTTACAACACATATATATTAACCATAAACTTATAATATATTTTTATAAGTAATAAAATTAATTGTGTATTTAGTGTTATAAAATATTAGTGTTTTGTCGTCACATTTTTTTATTCTAACCTAATCAACTGTTTTTTGTTCAAAACTTTACTTAATTGTTATGAATTTTTTAATCAATTGTAGGTATGATAGTTAGTTATATATTATATAATCAATTATATATATATATATTATAGTATATGAATATTTAGTTATTTAAAACAGATGCTCATATTAATTTTGCAAGATACTTTCATTAGAATATATCTTTTAATTATTTAAAGAATTCTTTAAAATAATTATTGAATTTCATAATAGTAATCAAATAATTTATATAAACAACGAAAAATGTATGTTATTGAAAATAATATACAAAATAAATAAACATATTTTGTGCTCCTACATCTTTAAACTAAATACATAACACAAATCACGTTTCATATTAAGTCACGTTTAAATCACGTTTTAGTTTGATATTCTTGGATTTTTTTGCTGGAGTACATGTCGATATGCAGGGTTATTCTATTGACCCCGAACATGGTGAAACAAAGATAAAAGAAGATGTAAGTAATAGTCACGTTTTCAACATACTCAGTATCTTGGTAACAGTAAAGGAAGCATTAAGAAAACGTTTACTTCAATTTTTTGTCATATTGAGAACTAGTTCAATTTGTTGCAATTTCAAATCTATTCATTTTTAAGCTTCCAATAAATTTTACATTATGGAGGCTTTTGGAACTGTAAGTATTGCATCTTATTATTTTCTAACTTTCTCAAAAATGATTTTTCTGATTTATAATAAAAATGTCAAAAATTGATAGGGGTAAATATTTTATGCTGGAAGCTACTGGGTATAGAAAAATTTTTATTTATTTATTTTTTGTTTTTATGAACAGTTATCTTTTAATAAAATTAGTTATAATATTCTATGCTTAATATTATGTAAATATAAAAATATTGAAATTAAATAAAACTTTTCATGACAAAATTTATTTTATAAATTTTAATAAAAAAAGAAAATACTAAATATTTGAATAAAAAATACCTCTAATTAGAAAAAGAGGTGTACTGGATGGAAGATGATTTATGTGGAGCAGTATCCACCATTTAGTGTCACATGTGTTCATTTGCATTATGAGTTTGCAAGTTTGATGTCCCAAATTTACAAGTATAAGCTGAAAAAGAAAATAAAAAATTATCTATTCTACGACTATTATATAATGTAACTGTTATATTATAAAAAATAGTTTTATAATTTTGATAACATTTAAAGACATTAAAAATAAGACATAGAAACAAAACAGATTAACAATCATTTTGGAATATTATGCTTATACCAAAAATCTTTTGAATTCAATATCATGAATTTTTTTTCTACAAAATAGTTATATTCTACTGCTGTAAACAGTTAAGAAATATTTAAAAAAAAAGAAGAAAAATTATCTTATATTAATGTATGATGACTCAAAAAACTGCATTTAGATAATAATTATATCGACCTTTTAGAGTCACGTGAGCAAACTCATGCAAGATAACATGGCATATATATTACAATAACAATTTTTATGAGATATATCTACATACTCTATTGTATAACATCTTCAATCTATTATTTTTTAAAATTATATAAATAGAGATATATTTGTAGACTATTTCAAATGTTTAATTAGGAATATATTATTTATTCCAATATATTATCAAAATCAAGACTTTTTTTTAGTATCCTATTTTGAAGTCTTTTCTTGCGGGATCACTATCTGGTACATTTTCAACTATTTTATTTCAACCTTTGGACCTTGTTAAAACCAGACTTCAAAGTAAAGTAAATCTTCATCTTGGGTGAGTATAAAATATTTCATTTTTAAAATTAATTTATTCTAAGTTGTTTAATTTATTTATTTTTGTACAGTGCTCCAAAAAGTGGTACTTTAAGCATAGTTATTCATATAATTAAAAATGAAAATGTGCTTGGACTCTGGAGGGGCATGACTCCAGTAAGAATATAGCAATTATTAGATTTAACGAGCTTAAACAAAAAAATATTAATTAAAAATAATTTTTCAGACCATTACTAGAGTTGTACCTGGTGTTGGATTGTATTTTGCATCATTGCATTGGTTAAAGCACACATTGCATTTAAAAGATCCACTCACACCTACAGAAGCTTTGTTATTAGGTATTACTGCAAGATCTATGTCTGGAGCTTTATTGATTCCAATAACGGTAGTAAAAACACGTTTCGAAGTACGTATATTTTAACGTATAATATATAAAACATTATAGAAATGAAAATACACGAGATTAGGAAATGTAATGCTTTTTTTTTATAGAGTGACGTTTATAAATACAATAGTATAGCAGAAGCATTAAAATTAATATACAAGCAGGAAGGAGTAAGAGGTCTTTCGAGTGGATTAGTACCGACGTTATTAAGAGATGCTCCTTATAGTGGTCTTTATCTCACGTTTTATACTCAATTAAGAACTATTTTTACAAAAGCAGGTAAATTTTTATTAGTATAAAATTAGAAAATAATTTGTCTACGACATAGTTATATTTTTTTAGATTTGCCCTATACCAAGTCGTCTGTTCCGCTGCATTTTAGTTGCGGAATATTAGCAGGAATATTTGCTTCTATCATAACACAACCTGCCGATGTAATCAAGACAAAGATGCAATTATATCCAGATGAATTTAAAAATATTCGTAATGCAGCTTTAAGGATTTATGAAAAATATGGTATATTAGGATATTTCAAAGGCATTGTTCCACGAATGTTGAGAAGGACATTAGTGACTGCAATGGCTTGGACCGTATACGAAGAGGTAGCAAAATTTTTAGATCTTTCAATTTTTTATTGTGAAGACAATTCTAAAACAAACCATACGAATTAAATAATATATTATTTTCAGGTTACAAAATTTATAGGACTTAAATAAAATTGTTTAATAATATAAGTTTTTGGTGATCGTTGACATAATTTTAAAAGAAGTCAATAATTTACGCACGATGGAACCAAAGTCATTCAGCCAATACAGATATTTACACTTGATGTACAGTATTTTAGTCTTGTACAAAGATAATTTGATTTTAGCGAACAATTGTATTATAGCAAATATCACTACTATGTACAGTATTCAAATAGAACCTATCGCTCAATAATGTATTATTCATATATATATTTTTATTTAATAAATTTTATAATTTAATAGAGATTGTACAGTGTCTGTTATTTTGCACATAATCCTGACTATTTCAATGTTTGCATGTTTTCCAAAATAACCTGATATTTTCATTGCAGTACTGTTTTATTAATTTTAATTAACAATCTTAAGAGTATTACAATATGAATTATAGACAATTTACCTTGATATCTTTTTTCACATGTAGCCTAAAGTAACATTTATCATATACAAGTAAATTACTAGTAAATCAGTTCTTAATTTTTTTCTGATGTTATAACATAATGTTAAACAATAACTATAGATCCAATTTTAAAAATTCTCATAATTAACTTTAAGAAAACGCGATGCAGCAAAGATGAACTCAAACGCAAGTGTATAAAATTCATGATTGGAATTTTTAGATTATGCAAAATCTTTACCTTAATATTATATTAAGCAGTGTGCAAGTGAGCCTGTTGTATTGGTTATATTCCCATGGCATGTCTTCTTTCTGAAAATAGACAATACAAGTTTTAGAAATTATAATCCTATTATCTTTTTCTCTCATATTAATTTCGGTCGTTACCAAATAGCACAGGATAATATATTTGTATATTATTTATTAACCTTGTCCTACATCACATATATAAAAAAATTATCATACTTCTGTCGGCTACATATGTGAGAAAGCATATTACATAATCAAAATTGATCATCTTTGCTTGTGACATTGGAAATAAATAAAATAAATGTCTAAATTGTATGAAATTAAGATAAAAATAATTAATATGTTAATCAACTTTTGAACAAAAAATTACATTAATTATCATTACGTAAGATATACAATAAATGCTATTAATCTTTTTATAAGATACTTGTAAAAAGTTGATACTATTTAATAAATATAATCTTTTTTTTTGTAAATCTATGCTGAAATAATGGTTTAATAAATTTTCTTTTAGTAATTATTTTTTACATAAAATCATTTAACATATGTATGACAATATAAAAATGAAATGAGAATGGAATGAAAACCTATAATGTGCGATGAAGATAATTTTTAATTATAAATAGTTGATATTTTCTATACTACTAATTAGAGTCCTATCATCCCAATGTAACAATACAAGACGATCCTTTATTTAGAGCCGTTATTTTTGTATTTCGTTTCTTCGGTATGTCTTTCTGTTTGATTTTTTTTTTTATCCAAGTGGTCCAGAAAGCATTGTTATTAAATGTGTAAATGACTTATCATGAGTCAATATGAGTTGCACAAATGTAGTACGCGCCCAAAGTATGAATTTTCTATAAGCCGAAATGAAGGACGCGACAAAAGAATAAGACAAGATGTGATTAAGGGAGATGTCCTCGGAGCACCATAAGACACATTCCACATGACCTGTCATCAACATTTATATTGCTATACCGTGATACTATACGTGATACTATAAGAATTACGACTCTCTGCTAAGAAAATTTGACTGAGCTTCGCCATGTCCTATTTCTCAGAACTAAAAACAATGGAGAAAAGATGCATGCAAAGGGAATAATATGTATCATACACGATACATATTTCTTGAAATATGTTTTTACAAATAGAGTTCAAAAAACGACGACATGTCAAGTTATAATCCCGATTTGTTTATCTATTAATTAGTTATAGCCACAAATAAATTAAATATATAAGTATATCTTATATTTCTGGACTATACATATAAATCTTTTATTATTTCAAAAACGAACGAAATTGTTAAAATTGTTCCTTTGGGTATATAGCAAAAATTTTCCCTGACTAACTGATAATTATCCGATTTTTAATTGAATATGCTCCAATAAGTTACAATCAGGGAGTAAGGAAAGTAAGAGCAGGAGTTTGTTATTGTAACTTCGTTAAAGCATTCAAATATTGCTCCAAAATAAAGATCACCATTTTGAAAATGTCTAATTTTCCTAATAAAAGGACATGTTTGGTATTATCATTCCGATATAAATACCTCAGAAATGCGTAGTAGAAGCTAGGATTGTATAGTCACAGTCACACAGGGCACTGTTGTGGCAGGTCTACGGAAGTAGGCACTGTTTCCTCCACTAAACCACTAATTTCTTTTCGACAAAAAAGCTATGCAGTTGTTGAAATTACATAATTGATTTACCCTATGAAGACATTATACCGATCAAAGCAAGCATAGGTATACCTTCTCCTATCTTGCTCTGTAGACAATATCTATAATACTACATGATAAAAATACCTTTCGTATGGGAACGACTTTTACTATTCCTTGCTCGACATTACCTCGATGCACCGTTTTTCAGTAATATGTTACATAGAACAAGCTCGTCACTTTGAAAATTAAACGCTGTACAAACAGGTCCATATGAAATTTAGTACAAGTGTTTCTCCGATTAATAGGCAGGACCAGAGACTGGCTCGCTGTGACTATGCCATTCTTCAAAATTACAGATAATTATCATGTATATATTATGTGCATCTAATGAAACTTACCTGGTAAAAAACCTGTACAGTAATTGAGACGAATATGATATATTGTTTAGTGCATACCTGGCTTACTTCTCACTCACTAACCAATCAAGAGTAGTTACTTGTGACTTCGACTTCTAGATCGATGACGACGTCGGTTGTGATGACTCGAGCTTCGGTGATCACGATTTCCTGAATGTTAAATGTATTTTTTAATAGTTCAAATTTTACAATGGTGTATTCTTTATTTACCTTTATCTCGAGCATGACGTCGGTGGTCATCATCTCGATGTCTGTCGTGTTTGTCTCTTGATCGACTTCTACTCCTGTGTCCTGAATTTCTATAAATAATTAGCAATACGAAATTAGTATTTTGTCACTTAACAATTTAATGGCATAAGTAATTGTAATACCTGTGACTGCCTGCATCATGTCTACTTTTATCATCATCGCGTCTACGACGTTTATCTCTTTCTCTGTCTCTGTCTCTGTCGTCTCTTCTTCGTCTATCAAGTTCTTCATTGGCACGCGCTCTTTGTTTTCTATCTTCTTCCCTTCTTTGTTCTTTTTCATCTCTAGCTTTTTCACGTTTACTCTACAAAGTTATTTTTATAACAATTATCATTTCGAGCTATTGAAATTTACAAAAAGATATATTTTACATAAAGATTATGAATTACCATAATTTCTTGAAGAGCACTCTTTAATCTAGCATAGCCAACATGTTGTTTACCCATTAGATGATCATCAATTCGTTGTTGAGCATCACCAACAATAAGAAATGCACCACATACATCACATACTTCCATTTGTTTTTCTTGTGCAGCAGCTAATTCAGCGGTCTAAGTGAAAGTGAAATTTTAACCTTTAATATTTTTTATTATGACGCTTTTTACAATGTATTACAATATTTACCTGATTGTAGTGACTATTATCGTTAGATTTTCTTAGTGTTTCTCGTTCTTCTTTTAATTGATCGCATAATCTCATTAGGCCTTGAGCCTGTTCCACATTGCCTTGTATTCCACTTTGTTCTGCTTCTTCTACTAGTTTATTAATTTTTTCAGTTAAAAGTGCAATTTGTTCTTCGTTTCGTTGAGTTTGTGCTGGTGTCAAAGTAGGCTAAAGAAACACCAATTTATAGATTCTTAGCGATGAAATTAATATACAATACATTTTAAAATGATTTACTAAAGTTGATTTACCGCTTCCGTTCTTCCAATAAGAGCTAATCGCTGTTTTCCCTTTATGATTTTTCTCTCAACTTCATTCAACATGCTTTGACAAAATCTAATAAACTCATCCTCGTATTGTTGCTTCCGATATGAATAGGGTGCTTTCTCAAATAATTCTCGAGCTTCGTCGTCGTGCACTCGAGAACACGCACCCAAATCAGCTCTCGTGTTAACGAATAAATCGTGGGGACAAAATTTGACTAAATACAACTTGCAAAACTGCGACAAAAAACAGAAATAAAAATCACAATGGAACATCAATATTTGAAATTGCTTTCTTCGAACGAGCACGCCAGAGCTATCAACATTTTCGAAAACTTACTTCAGGATCTTCCCAATTAAGTTCTTTCGGTTTTTCATTGGGAAGAACGTTCCTATTTCTTCCCATAAGCTCGTCGAGCAAAGCAGCAGCAGCAGCAGCAGCCATATTCCAAAATTCTTCAGCGAAGAATGTCGATTATTAGTGAAATAGGAAAATGTACCGATAGTTTTTAGGTATTTAGACACTATGAAACCTACGTGTTTTGTTTGCACAGGATTCAATAAACGATAGAGCTATGTAAATTCACTTTAAAACAAGGAAAACAGACGAGAATGAATTAAGTGAGTCAAACGAAGTGATAATACTTTCATTCTAACCCCTTTTTACTTTAGACGGCGGTAGTGTAGCAAACAATATGGCGCAATTCACAGAAAGCTCGTATATGAAAGTGTAAACAAGAGAAGATCTAATTTTTTCACTCCTTCAATTTAATGAACAACGCACAGTAAACAGATTCCACCCTGTTTTATATTTCTTACAGCTGTTTGTTTTTTCTCATTTATCGTGATTATTCTGAAAAGTTGAAAGAAAAAAAAACACGCAACGTGAGTTGCGCTATGGCGTTCTCACGATCTTTGTTACTACGTGATATGATATCAAACAGCAATGTCTCTTTTTAGCAATAAATATATGCATATACCTAATGTTCTTCATAAAAATAAAAATAATTTCATTATTTAGTTATATCCAATAGATACGCACGACTTCATTTTTCCATGTATTTTATATCGTACGTAACTCATTTAAACTGATGATTGACTATTTCTCCGCGTACATAAATTTAAGCGTCTTATTTGAATTTTGAGTCATCTTAAATTAAGCTGTAGCAGCAGCATTCTAAGATAACAAGCACCACCAAAAATAACGCAATAACAATTTATTGGTTATCACTGCTAAAGTAATGTCGATTATACACGTGTTACCATGCTTGCGATACGCAGAAAATGTAATTTCAATTTGACATGCCAATTATAAATCCGGTAATATTAATCGTTTTCAATCTAAAAAGAATTATCAGATTTTTACAGAACAACAATATAAGATGTACGATACGATTAATTTACAGGACTACAACTATACTTTATTCGAATAAATATAATAATTATTCCAAGTTTCTTCCTTGTAATTTTAACTTAAGATGTATGGTGACACCAGATGTAATATAATTAATGACAAAAAATGTGACGATGATTGCGACGATGAATGATAATTATCAAACGAATGCCGATCGAATTTATTCATACTCCTCGTCATCAGGTCGTACTTGAGGATATCTTCTCACAGATGTCTGGTGTTGAGGTTGCGGCCGTCTATGTTGAAGAGGTATGTTGACTTCCTCGGGGCTACGAAAAACTTGATTCACTGGTAAACGAAATTGAGGAAAACCCGTTGGTTGTGGACGCGCCGACGATGGGATACTGTTCAACGTGGCTGGTTGGGGACTCGCGTACACCTATACACATATATCTCGCATTTTTATGTCATTTCGCTTTGCATATTTTACAAGGAGGTAACATTTCAATGAATTCTTACAGGTGGAGTAGGACGGCGAATAGGCGCAGAGGGAGTGATCTGATAATCACCAACTTCGCGCTCGTCCGGGTGAATGTCTGCGGGGAAAAATCTTTCGCTATATCTCAAGGTTACGTTGGGCTTGGTCTCAGCTTCAGCCAAGTTCAATGGTTTGTAGAGGTACTCGTTGACGAAATGATACTGCGAGCTCTTCTTGCAGTTGATGTCACCGCTCGGGGGCATACAAATCAAATGAACCTGTAATAGGTATATATGTAATTGTGCAACGACGTCGATAGTATCTCGAGGTTTGAGAGAAAGGACTTTCGTGGGACACGACGTGTACTTTTATTTGCATATCTGCTACCGAGAACGGGAGTCGATTACCCCGGAAACGCATAACGGTGTGTACTGGTATCAGGCGATTGATCGTACGATTTATGATTGTATCTTACTCACCTGTTTGCCCGGGTACAGAAAACCGGAAGAGGCGGCGTGAAAAAGCGCGAGAGAAGTGAAATTTGCTTATCAGTTGCATATTTGAACTCGATTGCTTGCACGATCACAGGAATTTTATATTCGTTCGACGTTTTCACTTGGGGCAACTTCGATTACGCATAAAAGGTCACCACTCGTGTAATTACGGAACAGAACAGGTATGAAAAGTATCTCGCATTCTTGCATCGAATATGGAAAGTAGATCTATTTAAAGATCGTGTTTGCTGTTAAAAGTTATACCTGATGGAATGTAAATCCTTCGGGACAGATCCAAGAGTGCCTCGCGTTATCTTGACAATAATGGAAGACTTCGCAATTAAGATCTTCATCAGCATAATAGCCCGTTTGCTTGTTCACACAATCAAATTTACTTTGTGGTAATAGAAGAGTCAAACGGTCGGGCTCTTCTTTCTCTTCTAATTCTTCAACCTCCTTTAAGTTTAGAACACAATTAAAAGCGTCATCTTTTAATCCGGACAAAGTAACTCCTAAATCATTTAAGCAAGACGTTTTATTTTTTTTTACTGTATTCCTCTTTCTTCAAATTATTTTAATGATTGCTTAATTTCGATAATTATCGAAAAATAATAACGAATAATTATTGGAAATCACCGACAAAAAATAAAACGCCTTACTTCTTCAAAAACGTTTCTTTCGTCTCGTCATGATGGTTGGTCATTACATAAGTTTACTGTTTGGAATTGCAAATAATGAATGCAAGAATTTCTTACGCTACTTTCACTTATTGAGAGATAGAAAAGCGTAACAGTTTTACCTGTATATCGATATTCTCCAAAATTTTGTAAATAACTTAATAATATCTTGTAACTTGTCCTGGATTAAAGGTATTAAAAAGTATAATTACCCGAGCATTTTGCGGTTGTCCACCACGAACAATACTACCACGTGGTGGTCCATTCACTCTGATGGCTGTTTGATCGAGAGATGGCTTACGGTATAGCTACACAAAAAACGAAACACTCGTGAATGAAGAGCATTTCTATTCATATATTTATGAATGGAAAGCAATCAAATTCTTCCTATAATCTTTGGACCATTCATGCGCATTTTTTATTTCGGTTATGCGTGGTACTTCTAAATATATACGTGAGTCGATATGTTAAAGCAATTGAAAGTAATTTATTTTTACGTAACTTGTTACCCAACAAGCAATGCATCGACAGATGAAATATTGCATGACATAATTGCTTTCGTTGTAACTAATAACTTTAATCATACATCATACGTACATTACATAAAAATGAGACGTAAGAATATGATACTAAGTCGTAGACTAGGACTAGAAATATCTGGTTTTTTTTTTTCTTTAAAAAAAATATTCGTATTTCATTGTTCTACTTTTCACGTATAGTATCGTCCAAATGACGAACTCAACAACAAAATTCCATTACAAACGTATCGCGAATAAGTTACATTGTTATTGCTTACGGGTTGTTGACTGCTGGGATTTCTGTAGGCAGGCGTCGGGGACGGCGTTGGTGTTACAATGTTATCCTCGTAGCTGTTATCGCGGAAACCTTGACCACCGCCGAGGCCAGACGAGTACAGTGGTCCTAAACTGGACGATTTACCGGGAAAAGAAACTCTTGATTCTAAGTCGTAAGAACTCTGCGCTGCCGCAGTCGCAGCTAATGCCGCCAGACAAAGCCAATACATTCTGCAAATGGAAAACGAGAGAGCTCCGTTAAGGCGATTCACGACGATTCTTCGCTCGCTAGGATGACTCGCGTGCAACATATTTTTCAATATGTAGTACAGAGAGAAAATTTATCCCATTCGTGGCGGACATGTGCAAGGGAAAGCGACCTTGGCTCTTGATGCCCTCCATAAAGCACGATGGCCGAGCTGAAGTGAAAAGCAACGATATTTCATTAGGTTTACGTAAAGCCGATGCTCATCTCGCGCGAGATATCACGGTCATTTATAAACTAATCGATCTCATTTATCATCTTGCGGACGCGTCGCGTGCGATCGATTATCTTTCAAGATCGTTTGTGTAATTATTTTTACGTCCGAGTTGATTAATGGCGATGGTAATAACGGCACTCTAGCTGCGTTTAATAATCAAATATATCATTGCAATTTCACCCGCGGATACGAAGTGTTAGAGAAATGGGAAATCATTAAAGAGAGATAGAAGCACGAAACTAATCGTTTAGAAAAATGATGTGTAACAAGTTGCAGGGTGTGCAAACATAAAGAAAGCATAGATGTCGATGACCTAGAATATTTGCGAGAAATGTAGTGAAATAACCTAATCGAGTTTTCGCGCAAATATGCTTTAGCGAAATTATTAATATTTATCAATGTTTATCGAATCTAGTGAGAGTTCGTTAAACTTGTCGAATTTTTCGTGGCAGTCTATTGTTTGTCTTGAAAGAAACACGTCCGTTTACACTTTTATCGATGATGGCTGTGGAAAGCACCATACTTTCTAAGTGCGTAAAACACGGATAGTGGTTTCACGATTCGTTGGGAACATCTCATTCGTAACGGTGATGATGTATCGCAAGAGACCCGGGGCTTTCGATAAATCTGAAAGGCTCGACTTACGAAAGCGAACTTTTTGACGTCTCGGAGGTAATGATCTCCCGTCTGTTGAGAGAAATCTCACGTGAGGTGACAAGATATGTGAAAAGATATCACGCAGGTTGAGAAATTGAGAGATTTAAGTGATCATTACATTTAAGATAATATCAAATCGATTAGGGAGAAACAGAAATTGTAATGAACATCTTCTTACACTTCCTTCTTACAAATTAAGCTATTTTGTAAGAAATATTTTCAATGACCATATATTCCATAAAATTCAAGAATTTAAAAAGAATTTTGCCAAAAATCTTTCGAATTAAACGTGCAATGCAGTAGAGACACAGAAACTCGAATGTATTATATGAATAACTTGTTCTTTCCTCGTTTAGTGCAACTTTTATGCAATCACGGGTCATCGTGTCATTCCGCCGCGTTGACTTTATTTGATTAACCAGTCCGTTTAAAGCAACAAAACGGTCAATAAGTGGCAGCCGGGGAAAATGGAAAAAAAAAAATGTAGTTGTCGCTCTTAATGAGAGTCTTGTCTTTACTAGGCGTAAGGTCCGTAAACCGGCCGATCGTTAAAGAGTCAGTCACAAACTTGGTTCGATCGGTTCGAGCCCCGAGTGAAAGTGAGAGGGGTCTGCGTGTAAAAATGACACTACCTGGAGAAAAATGGGAACGTATTTGCTCGAGTGTTGCGAATTATGTTATGGAGTAAAAGCATGCAGATCGTAAGACAATATCGTCCAAGGTTCGCAGCTGAGAAGGACACCGATCGAGGATTCGATCGAAGAATCGTCTGGAACTTGATCGCTACTCTTTTCGTGCTCTATTTCTATTTCAGTTTCACCGAGATCATTGATCAAGGAAAATCGTAAAAACTTTCTCTGCGTGCTGGTATATCATCAAACGTAGTTAACGTCTCTCGATCGTTCAACTTTCAGCGATTACTCAGAACGTCAGTTTAATTTCTTTTCTACTCGGACGTGTTCATGGTGACGATTATTGGAAATTTCATCGGAGATTATTTCAATGATTACTCTGAAATTTAATAGGATTTTGAATAGAATTTAATTAACTTAAGAGATTAATTTGCTTTTAAATCTTTTCTTTCCAAGCAAGTTATGCTCGAGGTCCACAGGGGCGTATTGAAGAAAGCAATTGCATAATGAAAAAAGAGATAGTTGTCGGACAACTACAAACGAGAGGAACGCGACGGTATAATCAGTAGAAGGCACACGTAACTGGTCGGCCAGTTGTCGGACTTGGACGTACTCTTACGGAAATCTGGAGCATGTTTTATACACACACATACACTAAATATGTATCGTTTAAAGTACGTAAAACGATATTATATAAACTTAAGAATGTTGTCTGAAACAGAGTATATTGTTCTAGAGACGTGTTACAACAAATAAATAATTGACAAAATAGATCGATGCAGTAACACATCAATGTAGCAATGATATTAAAATCTTTCATAAATTCTTAACTCGCAGTTCCTGATCGCTCTCGCACAACCGGTTTCCTTTCCCATTTCCAAGGCACGTGCTATCAATCTCTGTCCCGCCATGCATAACGACGATAATTTCGCAAAATTTTTCATCATATTTCCATAGACTTCTCGACTGCGATACACATTGGTATTCTATTACATTGGATATCGTTCGATTTCATCCGAATCGTTTATTCATCGTCAACAATTCCAGATGATTATTCACACATACGAAAAGAAAGAACACCAATGATACACAGATGAAAGGTCGAGGAACGATCTCATTGGATTTCCAATGGGAAACACTTGCACTGTTCGATTGTTCGTCACTACATCCCACATTTGTTCCTTCTTTCCTCGCTGAAATTTTTTAAAACGTTTTCTTTTCTTTTTTTTTTTTTTTTTACCCCACTTACCTGTCAACGACGAAGGTAGAGGAGTAACAGCACGATTGACAACACACGAGCTTTATCTTGGTCGGCCGGTTCTTCTTTCTCTTATATAGCGAGTCTCGCTGAAAGTTACCTCCACCAAGTAATATCTGGGTTCACTTTGGGGTAGTGGGAGATATTGGCTGATGTATACTGCAAAACAAAGTGTTCTCCAAAATTCTTCGTCCGCAGAGATCTTTAACAAAGAAAAATAATCATATCAGTTTGACAAGTATAAGCGATTTAACATAATGGTTAAACGAAAGTAGACCTGTAATGGAATATGTTCACAATATGTTAAACTGGTAACTTACTTTCGATCTAGATGATGTGATATTGAACTCCCTAAAGAATCTTAACATTTGGAACTAAATTAACCGCACCCTTGTAAAACAGTTCTTGCACTAGAAGAGGATAAATTTTTATAACGAAAAAGTTAAAATTTCACGATGTGACTGACAAAGTAATTTCTTTGGCTTACTTTAAAGTTGAAATCTCTTTTCTCTGGCTTTCCATTTCCGTTTCGAGCGTTAATAAGTCGTTTCGCGTGGCTTTATCCGCGACACATTCAAAAAGTTTCTTTCATCCACGCGTTCCTAAAATGAATTTTGTGCAATGAATGGACCGCGTAGAGATCTTGATTAATGGAAACAGGATGTGAAGTGAAATTTTGGTTTCTGTTTTATCGCTGAAAAGGCGATTTCGAACGAGCTCTATGCTGTCAACCTGTATTGTACAACTTGTGGTATCCTCAAAAAATGAATCGGAGGTGATTGAATTATGTTAAACGGAATTTATATGTATAATTTACATGTAACGAAGCAGGTATGTATATACTACGATATCTAATCGATTGCAGTTAGAGTACGACATCTACTTGGTAATTCAAGAAAGTGAAACAGAGTCGTGTTAAATTGGAAATTCTTAAGTGAAATTCCTCAGATTTTCTCGCATAAATGTCGAACACCTATCGACGGGATTAAGAAAGAACAAATAAAGGTAAACACAATTGCCGATAATGTTTCAAAGAATGTATTTTCATGGTTAATGAGATTTTAACGAAGCGTCAGAAGAAAAGGCATCGAATTGATTGCACGGTTGAATGCAATTCTTGCATCATCGATAGATACGGTCTTTTGATACTTTTTACTTTCATACACATGAAACTTCACATCTGATCGTTTCCGCAAAGCACTTTCAATACCAATGGGATCCCAACGAAATCAGGTGAAATGGCTTTCTACCTGAAAATTTCTTTCCTTACGATAGTGGGTCAAATTTTAAACCGTTGTCCAGATTTTATTTGCATTCGATAAACGTGACTTTAATCTTTATGTGGACCAATGAACGCGTGTTTTGATTTCATTTAAATACTTGTTTTAAAGGCTGTAATTGAAAGAAACGTATCAGTTGTTTCCGTATATCACTTGCTCTATTTTCATGTATCTTTAAATTTGCTTGCATGCACGCAAGCAAAATACACACTTTAATTGCTTCTCATTTATCGTAAGTTGCACACTGTGCTAATAAAATGTTGAAAGTAGGCTGGTTTATCCGCGTTTAATTTAATCGCCTTTCACGTGGAATGCGTATTTTGATTGCATTCATAAAAAAAAAAAAGAAGATATTATATCCTCTTCTTTCTTCTTATACTTCTTCGTTGTTTCCCTTTTTTGTTACTATTGCATTGTATTCTAGAGCGTCAATTTAACATAATAATTCTGAAACGTTAATGTTATGCAATCAAGTTTAATAAACGGACCTGATCATTCTGATACGATTGTTGAGTTGCAAATCAATGAATCAATAGGTGCCTAAGGGGAATCAAAGGGGAGGGAGGACAAAGTCAAAATTCACGCCCATTGAGAAACTTTCGATCTCTTTTCTTCGATTTCTTGACTCTTCGGAAGCGTGAATCGTCTTTCTCCCTTGAATTCAACGCACCGCTTAGCATGTAATTTATTGAAATCATATGGAAACGGATCGCATAGACTTTCTTTCTTGCAGAGACGAAGGTCATTGTTTTCACTTGACGGAAATCGAGAAGTGATTCCTTTCGATTAATACGATCGACAAGATCCCACCAAGATTCGGCCGTCATTCACTTTCTATGCTTTTCTTTGTTCTTCGTACTGCAACTTTTCCTCTTCTCGTCAACGAAGCGTGTAGTTTTCGATATAATTATACTTGGTACATCGAAATGCCCATTTGATAGATCTGATTTCTAACATTTGATTTCAACAAATTTTATAAAATGGACACACGCTTCTCTTGATTAAATTCCGGTTGAAATGTGCCCCGACTATCACGTTCGATCGAGCAATTAGCATCGCGTATTTTTGATTAAAATCAGTTTTAGTCGCGCGGTCAATACTTTGTTCTTCATAAATAATACATCGAACGGGACCGAATTCTGTTCATTTCCCTCTACGTACTTCAAACTCTGGTTTGGCGTTCGCTCTTTAGAAAATTGACCTCGTCGAAGAGAATTGACTTTTTTTTTGCAGATATCAAACCGGTTTCTCTTAACTGCAACTGAATTTAGATCGTTACATTGAAAAGAGTAAAATGCGTATTCTCTATAGATGAACGTACGTACATGCGTTGTAGTTAAATCTTCATTGTTCTCGACGAATCGCTCCTTTAGCCTTTTCATTGTAGTGCATCATCGAACATTTAATCTTAAATCTTCAACTTTCACATAGCTATCCGATTGACCATAGATTTTTTTACGATAAAGATATCAGACGTACTAATATAAAAGTTTCATTTCATTTTATGCCTTTGTAGATTTGATATGGAAAGGGAAGTCCAAATATATAAAGCTATCATTATAAATGGGTATTTAATTATTTCTAGGGAGGCGTATTACTGATGGAGTAACTGATATTTGGGTCCGATCGAATGAAGGCGTAAGAAATACTTTCACCAGCTGTCAGACTTACAGGAGAAAGTTTGTTCACCCTCCGTTCCGCCCCTGTAATACGCAAATGGACCATTAAAGAGGAAAATGAAGCAGACAATATGAGAATCGTAATTAGACGGAAAGTGAACTTTAGTCTGCCGATTAAACGCGTTTGTTTCATTTCTGTTTCTTCCTTAAGTATTTCGCATTCTAATAATCGTTAGGCAGTTCAGGTAAATAACCGTCACCATTACGAATAGATAGCCTTCTTTCTATTCAGAGAGATTAACTTACGTAAATGCTTTGTAATATACAAATATAAGGAATCGAAATCGATAGTTAATTTCAAAATGTCTAAACTTCTTTCTTTTTCAATCATGTGTTTCGAAAATCATAATCTTTGCAAAACGTCCAGAGATATTCTCATTAACATCTGAAATTAAAATTAAACATGTAAATGAATCAAAGATTTCTTAAACGCAATTCCCTCCAAGAAAAAATATTTTATGATAAATGTGTTACGTTACATAGAAAGAAAGACTAAATACCTATTAAACAAGTAGTTACCACGTATGTACATATATGTAAATACAAAAATTAACTAAATATTTGCATAATTGTATTGACTTTTATTAATGTTTCCTGTTCATGCAGGCTTTTAACATATAATATTGACATAAAGTTGAATAAATTGATTTTTTTTTTTAATATTTACTACTTATCTGTACAAAAATACTAAAGTTGAAACAGAATAAAAATTAATATTTTATAATATAGCCTAGATAGTAAACTAAAATAGATAGGATAGACGAGAAATTCCTGAATATCCTGAATATTCCTCTAACTACAAATATAATATAACATACAACTAGAATTATATAATACATATTGAATGTTATAATAATAAATAGAGTACATATTTCATTCAATTGATATTATATATTTAGATATTTATCTAATATTATTCGTGGTTTCTTATCGTACTATTTATTCGTAAAAATATTTTTAATAAAATAAAAAATATCAGTTGTGATGTCAACCGACGTCTTAGCGTTCCTGCGTCACTAATTATAAGTCACTGCGGATCTTTCGCGATTTAATTTCTACTGTCATATTCCAATTTTAAGTTATTTATGTCTCTTTCTTTTCCAGCCAGAATAGAGATAATTGCTCCATCTGGTGTCGAGTCCTCGCTATTTCCAACAGGTCGCAGCTAACCGATGGATCGATGACGATCGTTAGGTAAGTGTGCAGTTTGCGGAGCAGCTCTCTAGGATGCTGCTCCCGTGCCAGCCTTAGATACCTCACCCAAACGTCTGGCCGCCATCTGACTAGCGATTCCGAGATAAAACGCACATTCCTTTAATCCCACTTTTCCCTATTGACACGATCCCTTTGGAGCCTCTTACGACACCTGATACTCTTTAGTATTTTAGATTCCACTTGGGACATAACATCAGTCATTTCTCAGTTAATTTCATTGATCAACGATGTGTTGGAACTATTGAAAATAATAAATAAATATCTTTACAATCTTGCTATTAGTTATTCACAGTGTAACAGTTGCCAACAAATCGCCATATAGAAACCAAGGATATACACTTTAAATGAAACAATAAAGTATATAATTTCTCTTTACGAGTATAGTTGTATTTTGGACTCTGTATTGTCAATTGTTATCAATTGAGACTAGAAAATAAAATTTGGGCAGTGAATCTAAAGAAATATATAGTGAATCTAAAGAAATATAACATGATACAGATGAACGTTCTGTAATCAACGATATTATACAATATTAATCACACATCAACTTTGGTCACGTAGTTTCGGATACTTTGCGGGATCGAATAGTTTTTTTATGTTTCACAGGTTCCATTACACTATCATTATCGGATACTGAAGAATCTCTTAATACTTTTCTTCCGCGTCCCACATTTCTCTCTTCATTTTCAGATCCAATAGATTCTCTGTTTGATTTTCGCCTCTGACGTTGTGGAATTTGATTATGAACTTCCATAGCTTCGCGAAAATGTTTCCGTTTTGCTTCCCAAAATAGTTCTTGTCTTTGTGCAACTTCAGGATAACTATCGAATAAATTGCGTTCAACGAATAAAATTCGATATTTCTTAAACATATAATAAAAATTATTATAATACCTTTCAGTAAATTCTTTAGTAGATGGAATGACTAAACGCCATCCTTTTTTAGTTTCATATACTGCTAAATTTGTGAATATTTCGTTAATTTCATCAGGAGGTAACTTAATAACAGATGAAATTGTTTTTCGATCTAGAAATTCATGTTCTGTGAATGATAACAACTGAAATTATACAATCATTAGTATGATGTTATACATAATCTTTTTTAAATTATTTAATGAACATAACACTTACAATATAATCCCTAGCTCTGCACATAAGTTCAGCAGGAATACCATTATATGATGATACTGTATCTTTTGGGTATAAAAGTTCACTACTTACAACCCAATTTCCCTGTACTAAAACTGCTACTTGTTGCAAATATTTTAAAATAGCTGCTATTTCTTGATCCGGTGATAAAATTGATTTCAACTGCGCAAAAGATATCACTTTGGCTGAAAAATAAATTTTTATTATTATCATACAATAATTTAAAATTAACATAAATTGATCTTTAAAATACTAACCATCTTTCATGAATGTTTTAATTTGATCAAGAAGAGGTAAACTCCTAATATAATTTAAAGATGAAATGGAGTTGGCAAAATCTGATACTGATTCTTCTTTTACTTTTGGTACTAACAAATCTATATATTGTTTTGTTGATATATTTAATGTATTTATACTTTCATCAGTAGCAGAACAATACATTTCTAAACGAGTAAGCTGAAAATATGTTTGTAATAAATGTTAATAATTTAATACAATATTTCAATGACAAAAAAGATAAAATATAAACCTCTGCTTGAGAAGCATTTGCTGGAACATAATTTGTATGAATCCAATTTTCTTCTAAACTTTTTTTAGTATGATGTTGAAAAGATTGCTCTTGCATCTTTTTCATATATTCAGGCTTCTGTCTAGCAAAAGTTACATTAACTTGTTTTGGACCTTCATCTTCCTCATCATGATCTATACATTAAAGATTACCACCATTGAAAAAGTATTAAACTAAAAGTAAATTAAATCAAATTAATAGAAATTTATTACCTTCACCCATATTTTTGGCTTCGTCTCTTATACGTTTATCACTTTTATCTAGATAATCAAACCCTGGACGTAACTGAATAATTCCCTTTAGTGGTGTTATATGTAACTCCCCATCTTGAAATATGCCAACTCCATAATTAGAGCAATTTGGCAATACACGAGAAGATTGTAATACTACTTTATCCATAATATTACTGTAATATGAAATATAATACATAATATAAATTGAATAAATAAAACATTATTTATTTACACTCTGTACGTTTATACTCTTCGAAATACCTATCAAATGCCTTTTCATCATCTTCTTGACTAGTGTTTGGTTCGCCATCAGCATTAATTGCAATCTGTGTACCTTTACTTTTATCATAATTGACATTATGTATATCAATTGATACTTCTATGCGAACTTCCTGATTCTCTGGCTTTATTGAACTTTTTAAGAAATTGGCATTGTCATAACCTTCTCCAGAAGGACGGACGGGGTATTGAAAAACAAATAATTTATCTGCAAGTGTTTTTGACAGATATACTGGAATCTAAAAGTAATTTAAAATAAAAATTTGTCATGCTTTAGTGGATACAATATCTAAATAATTAATATTTACAAGTTATCATATAAAATCATATTAAGTTGTAAATTAATATTTACAAAAAAAAAAACATTATAACAATACAATTTAGAAACATAACCTAAATTTAACCTAAAAATTGAATAACCAAAAGAAGGATAGACTTGCTTACTAACCTCTTTAACCACTGGATCAGTCTCATTTTCCATTTTACTAGTAGTGGACATTTAAATAATAATTATTCCGTATTTATTTCTTAATATCACTTAAATGTACTTTAATATGAACATTTGATTTTTGCAACACATTCGTAAGCAGATAATTAAGCTAAAATATATAAATAGATGAAATGTGTATACTTCGTAGAAGAGATATAGTGTGATCATGCACAATGCAAAAATTATTTGTGAATTGATACGTTAAATTTCTCTATAATACATTATGTGAAATATTTCTAGAATATTTCTGGAATTCGTTTTTTGAATTGTATATGCTATACACAATATGTATTTGCAAGTATATTTATAAATCCGTCCTACTAACAGTACGTACTTACCAGATACGTATGAATATAAGAATACGAGAATACGAGAACAATACAATGAAATGTAATGTCTATAGTGAACTTTTTATTACTGTTCTATAAAGTAGTATTGCAATATTTGTAAAACAAACAATGCATAATATTAAAAATTTTCCATTTAATTTATTAAATTTAATTAAATTTATATACATATATATTTTTGTCGATGGTGACACAAAGAAGTCTATGGTTTGAATTTTATCATTGTTACCACACTAGTGCAGTTAAATTTCATAAGTTACTGTCAGGTAATACCAGTTTGTATTGAAAAGTATCGTAAATTTGATGTTTTCAATGATATATGTATTTAATTAAAAAATGATTTATAATCATATATACAATAAATCATAGAAAGATTGAATTAAATTACTATTGAAATTATTATTGCATTTAGAATAGTTATATTTTAATATGTAAGTATATGTAGTACAATAGAGTATTGACTTCTAAATTGTAAGGCACAATTATAATATATATGTTTATTTATATGTTAAATACAGTGAAATAAACAATTTTTAATAAAGCACTAACAATGACATCGATGTTTGACCAGTACGAACAAGCATCTCAAAGATCAAAACAAGTATATGCACCACCAATTCGTCCAGATATTGTAAGTTTATAATAATAATAATTTTTTCTAACTTTATAACAAAGACTTTATAAATCTCCATTTCATGTTTTTTTTTTTGATGTTTCTAGAGTACTGCTGGATTTATTCAAATGAAATTTCAAGATGATGGGCCAATTTTTATTAAACAGAAAGTTAATTTTTTACCACCAGACAAAATTTTACATCTTGTTGTTAATAATAATATTATCGTTATTGCCATGGCCAATAATCTTCTTTTACGTATCGATATGAAACATCCAGATTCACCTGAAGGTACTTTTTTTTTTTCTTTTTAAATGAATTATAATTCAGAATATAAGCTGATACAAGATGTTCTTTTTCAGAGATTGATATATCTAAATTTGCAATGAATATGAAAATGTCAGCAATGTTTCTTGATCCTCTAGGTAATCATTTGTTAATAGCTTTGATTTCAAAGTCTCAAGAACCTCCCAATTCTCCCCCTGAATTATATTATTTACACAGAAAAACAACAAAATTAAAACAGGTAAATAAGATAAGTAATGTTTTAAAAGAAATATAATTTTCAAGATTTTTCATTTAGGCAAGCAAGTTCAAAGGACATGAGATTACTGCTGTTGGATGGAACTATTCAAACTCTTCAGAAACTACTACAGGTCCAATCCTCTTAGGAACATCAAAAGGTCTTATTTTTGAAACAGAAATTGGTTTAGATGGTGATAAAATATTTAATACAAGCTTGGAACAATATTGGCGTCAGGTATAAATAAAATACATAAATTAAGTTTTAATATCATTGTCAGTAAAACATTATCATTTCATAACAATAGAAGTGTTACCCTTATATCATTACATTTTGTCCAAAGCTTCCTAACTATTTACCTCTTTATGGTGCTAAAGAGGTAGAAGGATTGGTGAGTCAAAAATTTTATTTTTTGCATGCGCAAAATATTTGTATGCTAGAAACTTGAAAATAATAATATAATGCACTATATATATTATATATGAAATTATAATTCCTTAATTCATTTTAATCATGCTTATTAATTTTGCTATTTTCATATCATAGACATATTTTATCATAACATTTCATAGCATTCATCTGTAATAAATATTCTGTAATAATGTTTTAATTTTAGGTATTTGATATAGGAAAGGATAGTAAACCACCAATTACTGGATTAGAGTTTCATAAGATACCAAGTACTGATAAATATGTGATTATTGTTACTACTCTTATGCGAATTTATCAATATATTGGAACAGTGCAAAATCCAGATGAAAAACCTTTATTGCAGCAAATTTTTAATAAATATTTGAATGTACAAGGTATATATTTCTTATTTTATCAAACTTCATTAAATTATAGTTGTGATCATAATCAAAGCAATGTTTTGATAGAGAGCTTCAATGAAGTGATAAATCATTTGCCTTATTCTAAAATTCAATTTTATTATCCATCACTTGGTATTTTACCAAAATCATTTGGTTGGTTAACTGAAACTGGTATATTACATGCTCAGGTAATAATTATTTTTTAATTATTTATTTTCAATGTATATTGTGCTGTAGAATTTCTTTCATAATTTGAATTTATTTAGATTGATCCAAAAATAGATCCAAAAAGTGTATTAACAAATCAGCAGATGTTAACTTGTCCTGAGGCGAGTTTAATGGGAATCAATACCTCACAAACGAGTACTGCACCATTATCATTTGTCTTAACAGAATTTCATGCTTTATTACTCTATACAGATCGTGTAAAAGGCATGTCGCTTTTGAATCAGGATTTGATATTTGAAGACATTTATAATGATGTATGTATAATGAATAAAAATTATATTAATAATATCTATATAATTATTACATTTAATAATTATTAGGCAGTGGGAAAATTGCTTAATATTACCAAAGATTATGTAACACGTTCCATATGGGCTTATAGTGAAAGAGCAGTATTTAAATATAAAGTTAATAAAGAAGATAGAAATGTTTGGCAGGTAAAACTAACTCAATTAATTTAATAAACTAATAGTATGAATTAACAAATACATATATTATTTTTAAACAGATCTATATTGATAAAGGTGAATTTGAACTTGCAAAACAATATTGTAAAGATAATCCAGCACATATAGATCAAGTGCTTGTAAGACAAGCAGAAATGCTTTTCAAAAATAAAGATTATGAGGAAAGTGCTCTCATCTATGCAGATACCCATTCATCATTTGAAGAGATTTCTTTAAAATTTTTGCAGGAATGGCAAATAGAAGCGTTAAAAACATTTCTTAAAAAGGTAATATATTTCCAACTTTAAAAAAAAATTTTTTAAATTTAAATATTTGAAATAATTTAATTTTTCATTTCACCTAGAAACTTGAAGGATTAAAAACACAAGATAAAACACAAATAACTATGATTGTTGTATGGGTAATTGAACTATTTATGAATCAAATGGGTGTATTACGAAGTAATAATACATCATATTTACACAATTCACAATATCTAGAATTACAAAAACAATTTGATAGTTTCCTTGCAATACCAAAAGTTGAGGTATTAATAATACTAATAAATATGATATTACAAAAAGAATTTGTTGTCATAGAAAAAATTATTTTAATTTCAGGAGTGTATAAAAAGAAATCGCAGCACTATATATGATTTAATGGCAACTCATGGTGATAAAGACAATCTTATTCGTTTAACTATAATGCATTGTAACTATCAAGAAGTAATACGTCAGCATTTATATAAAAATAATTATTTAGAAGCTCTTGAAGTTCTAAAAAGCCAAAATAACAAAGAGTTGTTTTATCACTTTGCTGGTATTCTTTTACAAGAATTACCGCGCCCTACAATGACTGCTTTAATATCACAAGGTTCTTTATTAAAGCCATCTAAGCTTCTTCCAGCTTTAGTATCTTGTAATACTGACGAAAAACATGTAAGCATTTATTTTCTTATTGTGTGTAGAGTTTAAATTTTATAACAGTTAACTAACATTTGTTATTATAGGCAAAAGAAGTAATCAGATATTTAGAATTTTGCGTTTACAAACAAAGCTGTCAAGAACAGGCAATCCATAATTTTCTATTGTCTTTATATGCGTGTTATAAACGCGATGAAGTAATGCGTTATATTAGCTCTCAAGGTAATTTTTCTGACTTTATATTTTATATATTTTCATAAAAAAATATTTTTAATGTGATATTTACTTTAGGGCAAGATATAAATATGGTACATTATGATGTGCATTATGCATTACGATTATGCCAAGAAGTTGGCTTAACAGAAGCTTGTGTACAGTTATCTGCTTTACTTGGATTATGGACAACAGCAGTTGATTTAGCTTTAACAATTAATGTTGATCTTGCTAAACAAATAGCTGCTATGCCCTCTGACCATGACGATGAATTAAGGAAAAAGTTGTGGTTAAAAATCGGTAATTAAAAATATAATTTTAAATTTTACGCTTTATTATAATTTTAATTTATCGTAATTCTAGCTGAACATGTGGTTCGAGAAAAAGATGATATTCAGCAAGCAATGGAATTTTTGCAACATTGCGATATAGTCAGAATAGAGGATATATTACCCTTTTTTTCAGATTTTGTTACTATAGATCACTTCAAAGATGCCATTTGCAATTCATTACAGGTAAAATAATTTATTTGCAAGAATTAAAAGAAAAGAAAATTTTGCATATTTCTCTTCTCTTTTAAATTGTAAATGAGATGTTTAACACGAAATATGTAACATGGATATTAAATAAATATTATTTATTTTAATCTTATTTAACAGGAATACAATCAACATATTCAAGATTTAAAGGAAGAAATGCAAGAAGCAACGAAAGCAGCAGAACTTATTAGGAAAGACATACAAGAATTTAGAACGAGGTAAATAGATTACTTAATGATATGATATTAATATTTTTTATATAATAAGTATTAATATTATTAATATTATTATTATCAATATCACAATATTTATAATAATATTATTATTATTAATATTTTTTTAGGTGCACATTTGTCAATACAAAAGACACATGCAATACTTGTAGTGTTCAGTTATTACTACGACCTTTCTACGTATTTCCGTGTGGACACAGATTCCATAGTGATTGTCTTGTAGCTGCATTAACGCCTATGTTGTCAATGGATCAGAGAACAAAGTTAGCTGATCTTCAACGACAACTTACTGCTCTTTCAAATAGACCTGAAGATACTAGATCAGTCGGATCTGTAACTTTATCTACAAAAGATCAGATTAAGGCTGATATTGACGACTTAATAGCTTCTGAATGTTTATATTGTGGAGAATTAATGATAGAGTGAGTTACATTTTTCTAATTTATGTTTTAGTTTACGTTGATATATATAAACTAAAATAATGAATTTTATACTGCAGGTCGATAGATAAACCATTTATTGAAGAAGAGGATTATGAGAGAGTAATGAAAGAATGGATATAAGTAATATATAGTATTACTTGTTTTGAAATGTATATTATATTTATTTACGAAGATTATTATTTGTAATAAATACAGTATGTATTTTATATTTTATCAATAATTATTTTTTTATTTTATACATGCATTATAACTCACTTTAAGAAATGAAAAATTTAAGTAATTTTTAAATAATATAGATTACACATTTCACGATTTTGTATGCTTCAACTTATATGTATATACTATAAATATTTGTAATGTGTTAAATTACATTGAAGAATATTAATTAATTTAAAATTTTAAAAAAATTGAACAATTTCGAAATATTTCATATCAATTATAATTTAAGTCAGTTCCAGATGTCGTTCTGCTTCTTTATTTCGTTTACTCACAGCTTTATTTCCATAAATATAATACCTTAGTGGTTTATTTGTCCATTCTTCTCCATAATTATCGATTCCTATTCTACGACATTTGACAATATTGAATTCCTCCATTTCACCATTCTCAATCCATAAACCTTTCCAAGAGCACATGGAATATTTACTATGATTTTTATGAAGCTGGAATGCCATACATAACTTTGATGGGCCATTACATAATTCATGTTCTTTTAAACCTTTTAAAGGCTTTTTAGGTGCACTTGATAATCCCTTCGAAGTTCGTTGATTAATCATGTATTCAATACCTTCTAAGGGTTCAACAGCCCTTATTAAAACAGCAGACCCTTCACCTAAAATCTTACCAAGAGGTTTCTTTATTGGAAGATATTAAATGCAAAAATGAAAATTATTAAATAGTATATGCATATTTTTCAGATTTAATATCTCTGTGACTGACACTACAACTTCCTAACACATAATATCTCCACACTTTTTGTTTATTATTGTTTGAATCATCAGAATTTGCTGCTACAATAGTAGTTGATTTTATATGAGGATCACTTTCTATCCACAAATCACTACATTCATAAATTTTTTTTTGATTGAAGCTATTTTCATCAATAACAAAAGTTGTACAAATCTTCGTTGGACTGTTACAAAGTTCATATTTTTTAAAATTTCTAACATTTTTTACAATTTCTTTTTCTTTTTTATTTTGTTTTATCTGCATGTTTCTTAGTAATTCCATATAATCAAGGCCAAACACAGGTTCTACTGCTTTAATTAATACATGTGCTCCTGACTCTAAATATTTTTTTATAAAGTGCTAAATAATTTTTAGAAATATATTTTTAGGTATTTATTTTAATTATTTACAAAATAATAAATACTATATCTAATATTTTATTTTTAATACTTTTCCATTTTTGAACTCACCTTGACTAGATATGTTGAAACAATGATACATTCCATATGTCATATATACATATATAGTACCCGGTAACATATACATTGGTATATTACGAGGTGTAACTTTATTTTGATATGTATGTGATGCTTTGTCAATTATTCCTAAATATCCTTCTGTTTCAACAATTCTTCCTTTTAGAATAGTTCCATTTTCTAGATAGCGAACTAGTATCTTTCCTAAATATAAGTATATATTATTGTTGTACACTTATAGTCTACACATTGAATATAGGTAAAAGTACTAAATAATTGGCAATATTACCTAATAAATTTTGTGCTAATTCTTCACAAGGACAATCAAAAAATGAATACGGCAGTCTATTTGAGCATATTTCTTTTTCCCATGGAGTCAATGGTGGATCCTCCAATTGTTTTAATTCTTCTTTCATCATTTTAAGATCCACCACTGCTCTAAGTTTATTCTTTGGTGGATGAGATATATTTGGTTGAAGTTCTGCATTATCTTTTTTATTTCCTAAATGTATAAACCATATAAAAATGTACATGAAACATAATATACAACTATTATTTTAAAAAAACTTACTATCTCTCAAACTTTTAAAGTTCAGTTTATTTGTTTGCTTCTGTTCCAGATTTTGATCAAGCGATTTCAATGTTTCTGTTGTATTAGAAAGTACTTGATTTTTAAAATTCTTTTTTTCTATCAATGAATGCTGCTTCATGTTCTAATAAAAATACTCGTTTAATATATGAGAAATTTAGAGAAATTATGAGATAATTGTACTGAAGAAATGCAAAATATTATACATAATCAAAGATGTTGAAGAAAAATTATGTTATTGTATTTGATACAAAGAGTTGAGTATGTACAAAAGAAAAAAAGTCAGTAATTTAAGAAAATTGTTCATAATGTTTTTTCAAAATAAACATTAATAATAAACCTTGGATTTAGTTTTTAGTTCATCTGTATCGGAATCATCAAGCTTTCTTTCTTCGGCTGAAAGTGCCTTCGAAGTTGATCGTGTTCTCTTCATTAAGGAAATACACGTTGTGAAATGAGCCACTGTAAAATCGTCAAACGTTTGTCGACTAATAGTTTCTATGAAAAGTAACATAAATTTTAATATAAGTATTCCATAACATTGCCAGATTAGATTAGGTTAGGTCGGCTATCGAAGACTGTTAGAGTTCAAAATTCAAATGCAGTGAAGTTTTCCCGCGAGAAACAAGCACAAACAAATTCAAATGTCACTATGAAATTATAATTGAAAAGATTAGGAAATTTTACATTCGTAATGCGTGTATCAGGTTCGAGTTTCGAAATGCGTCACGAAAGAACCGTTACTTCTTCGTTTTGAAAAATGGTAAGACGAAGTTTTACATTCCCGCAAAAATGCGAGTACAAGTTGGTTATACTAATTGGCAAATTAATTGATACATACGGCTGTTTAGTATTCTACGATTGGCGAGGGTTTTTAGAGTTTTGGATATTACGGGCAGCATCTACATTCGATTGAGGAACAATCTCAGGTACGATAAGAAATGAAAATTTACTTTTCTAATTAATTACAGGCTATTGTACGAGGATGCTTGTTTACGAGATGTACATTTGACTATTCTTGATAGGAATTGTTTTTGATACGAGCGAAATCATAGATTGCCTCCGTCATCTCTTCGAAGTTTACTTGTCCTGCATTTGTCGTAATAAAGCGAAATACGAGGTAGCTGTGTTGAATACCTGCGAAATCAAACGGTATAAAATTTTCATTCCTTTCCTTTCATCTTGCAACAATTACTTACGACTGTCAACGTATGGATAGATAATGTCTCGAACGTTAATGCCGTGATGCTGCAATATTGTTGCGCTCTAACAATTATGAGACAAAGGTATTTCTGATAGATCAGTGGCAAATTATACCACGGCACATTGAGATAGACTACGTGCCCTACGTTTTGACTTTCTTGAACGAGGATTTCGCCGGGCCAACACCACACTAGGAGCTGTACTAACATGGAAATGAAATAAGATGTGAATTTCGCTAGATCGGCTTTCGCTGTCCCGTTATCGAGTATTGCGTATCCACTTAAACAAATTTCAATTCCGCTCGTAAGAAGTTGCATAAAAATGATGGGTGTTAGTAAATTATTCACATCATTTACCACACTGTATAAAAGTAGTACTATTGTCAAAGATACGATTTAATGGCGTTGGAAATATTAAAAAGAACAAAAAAAAGTTAAAAAGGTTAGTTAATAAAATTGCAAGTAAAATATGAAATCGGAAGTGGGAAAATATTTACTCTATCATTCGTTGATGATGGCGGATACATTTAATTAGTTGCATCATTAACCTCCGCCTGTAATTCGGCTCACAATTTATTTCAACTCCTATATCAGTGATCCAAGTATTGATTAGTTTAAATTGACCAGACACGTGTAAAATCGTGGTCATAAATGTGGCATCCAACCCAGAAATCGTAGCAGCGCAAATTACGGACGATAGAAATTGGCATGCAAAAGCGATCTCGAAGCTGGGAGATACTGAAATGTCCTTGCCGTACCTAATAATGAGATCATGTATGATAAATCACGATGTAATTGTTTTCTTAATGCCTAAATAAATGTACCGTCTAATTCTCTTTTACGTCTATGATATGAAAATTGTATTTCTAGTAGGTATACTTGCTATGATCAGCGAGGAAGGAAATTTAACTAGAAAAGGATGATATTTACCAGACAACGAAAGGCAAATCCCGATTGTTGTCAGTACTGTTGGCGTTGTATTCGAATCTAAAATAATTGACAGCCGCAGCAACGGAGAAAGTGATCACATTGCACATGCAGCTTAAATAAAAAATTATCGTACAAATTCGCGCCCAATAAGCAAGCTTTATGTAAGACTGCATTTCCTTTGGATCGTTGGTAGAGTTCCATAAACTTCGTATTTCGTAGTAAAGCCTGTAGGTCCTTTCTTTTCTCATAATCAAGTAAATTATTTTGAACAACGATTGTCCAACTGTTGTTAAAACGCATCCCACTCCTAATTTAAGATAACGTAATCTAATATATTACATTGCTAGATGAGAGAAATTCGTTTGGGGAAATGTGAGAAGTAAGTCAATTTTATTGAATCTTACCTGCTAAGATTCTTAGGTTGCCCCAATTTACCGCTATCGCCATAATTTCGGGCACGAAGACACTATTGATTGCCGTTAATGCCACTATCAAGCGAGAATATGCGAATATTTTGCTACACGTTGAACTCTTCTCCTTGATAGGCCACATTCCAGCTATACTTCACAAGATCTTATTCGGTAGTATGTAATAGTCGATCGATGTATTAGATTGTTCTTCCATGTTCTTCTTTCATGCGAAATTGGATGCGTGTCTGCGAATGAAACCTTGCCTGTTTCAACCAAGTTTCCCAATAGAGAATTCTTTATAACGATATTACAGACAGAACGCTAAAACACAAGGTTTTGATTTGTGTTTTCCGTTCGCTCGAAACATGTTCAATATTAATGTTATTCTGCATACGTCCCTCTTTATTTCCTCTGGTTTTGATTTATAGTTTGATGAATAGTCTATGTTGTAAGTAGAGAGGACAGTATCTAAATTGATAATGTGGTGTTCCATGCAACATAGCTGCAATTTCTATCCTAGTGTGTATCACATTTCAATATACTTACAGAGGCACATTACGGGAAAATTTGCCGTTGTCACAAGACTTCTTTCTGATATTATTTTCAGATGTAGATTAAACTAAATATTTGAATTAATTCAGTCTATTTTGATTTTGCCAAATAACGAAGTAGAAAATAATGTAACAAAAGCAACAAAAATATTTATAACACTCACGTATGTTCATATTTGTAGTGAAAGTGTGCTTGGAATCGTCAGGAAAGTACAGAAGATGTGGAATTAAAAGTATGAGAAGAAGATGAAAATGTAAAATTGTAAATGGTAAACATTCTCTTCTACCAAATGACAAGAATTTTCAAATTGGATAGTATGGGCAATATCTACATGCAGTTATAAAATATCAGGTACATTATGAAAATTTATGCTTTTAATTACAGATTACTTTTTAAGGTATTGTATAATGATATCACACTATATGTACATCTATACTATACATACGTTTGACTATTTTTGTTTAATATCATACACGGTAATTATGTGTTCGTTGAAATTTGGTCTTGATGCATTTGCCGTAACAAAGTAAAATATGAAGCAGCTGTGTTGAATACCTGAAATCATTTGTACTTTAATTTCTGTTTTAGTGTTGCAAGAATTGATTTTCTATAATCAAGTTTTATATTCTGGCCTGTTGTTAATTTTATTGTCAAAATTAAAGAAATAGCTACTCACGCTTGTTAATGTTTGAAAAGATAATGTTTTGAAAGTTAATGCCGTGATACTGCAATATCGTTGTGCTCTAATAATCATAAGACAAAGGTGTCTCCGATGAATTGGAGATAACTTATACCATGGTACATTGAAATAAATTACGTAACCTACTTCTTCACTTTCTTGAACAAGAATTTCGCTGGGCCAACAAAATAAAAGAATTTCCACCATCATGGAAATGAAATAAAATATAAATTTCAGCACATCGATAATTGCTGTCCTGTATCCGAGCATTGCGTATCCACTTAAACAAATTTCTATTCCACTCGTAAGAAGTTGCATAAAAAGGATGGGAGTAAATAAATTATTTATATCGTTCACCACACTGTATAAAAGTAGTAGTATAAATGATAAAAATTTATATGGAGAAAAGTTGTTACACGTTGCGAAAAGAACAAGATTGAAAATAGCAAAATGTTTACTGTATGATCCGCTGGTGATGGCGAATGCACTTAAACAGGTCTATTTCGAACTTTTCCAAATGAACAGACTCGCGATTGATTTCAGTTCCAATTTTATTCATCCAGGTTTTGATTAGTTTAAACTGTCCAGCCACGTGTAATATTACGGTCATAATCGAGCAGTCTATACCAACGACTCCTGAAGTGCCTATGATGCATGCCAACAGCTGACAAATGAAGATGATTTCGAATTTGGGAGACGCTGAGATGTCTGTTCCGTACCTGTTAGTAGTGATGTCAGAATGTTAGAGCTGTATATTTTCATTATTTTCATTCTTTTCATGCTCAATAGGAGAGATTGTTACCAGACGTCGAAAGGTAAATGTCGGTTATTACTTAAATAATCGATAATTCCAGATATTGTGAAAGAGATCACATTACACATGAGGGATACAAAAAAAGTTATTGTAGCAATTCGAGCCCAATAAGCAATTTGTTCGTAAGATTTCTTTTCGTTTGAATCATCGGAAGAATCCCATAGACTTCGCATTTCATTATAGAGCTCATGTGCTTTTTCTCTTCTTGCTATTAAGTAAAACATTTTGTATAATGCTTGTCCGATTGATGTTACTGTGATCCCTATTTCTGATTTGAGGAGAAATATCGATTGGGTGAGCGGTCAGAAAGTAAAATATAAAATTTGAGATAATTTCATTCAAATCTTACCTGCTATGGCTTGTATGTCGCCCCAATTTACTGCTATCGCCCAAATTTGGGGCACAAAGATAGAACTGTATGAAATCACTGTCACTATCAAGCGGAAATATGCGAATATTTTGCTAGACGTTGAACTTTTCTCGTCGATAGGCCACATTCCAACAACACTACAGAAGATCTTATTCGGTAGTATGTAATAATCGAACGATGTATTAGATAGTTCTTTCATGTTCTCCCTTCATGCGATATGTGGTTGCGAACGGAAACTTATTTTCTATATGTTTCAATCAAGTTTTACAACACGGAATTCTCTGTAGCAATATCATAGATTACACGCTAAAACATAAGGGTTTATTTGCGTGTTCCTTTCGCTCGAAACATGTTCATTATTAATGTTATTCTGCATACGTCCCTCTTTAAGTCCCCTATTTCTGATTCATAGTTTGATGAAAAGTCTGTGTTGTAAGTAGAGGGGACAGTATCTAAATTGATAATATGGTTTTCCATGCAATCTCTTGAAACTTTTCTCGTGTTTAGTATGTATCAAATCGCTTACTGAGTCATATTACGGATAAATTTGTCGTTGTGATAAGATTTCTTTCTGATATTATTTTCGGAGATAGATTAAGGAATATATTAGCAATAATAATAATGAAGTAGAAAATAATGTAACAGAAGTAACAAAAATATTTATAACTTACGCATGTTCATATTTGTAGTGAAAGTATGTTTGAAATCGTCAGGAAAGTTCAGAACATATGGAATTAAAAGAATGGAAAGAAGATGAAAATGTAATTCTAAAACTGCAAGTGGTAGACATACTTTTCTACCAGATAACAAAAATTTTCAAATTGGATCAGACACGGTATGAAAATTTATGCTTTTAATTACAGATTACTTTCTGAGCTACTGTATACTGATACCACAGTATATACGTATACGTACACTATACATACGTTTGACTATTTCTGTTTAATATCATACACTGCAATTATGTGTTCGTTGAAATTTGGTCTTGTTGCATTTGCCGTAACAAAGTAAAATATGAAGCAGCTGTGTTGAATACCTGAAATCATTTGTACTTTAATTTCTGTTTTAGTGTTGCAAGAATTGATTTTCTATAATCAAGTTTTATATTCTTGTCGTTTCTGGCCTGTTGTAAATTTTATTATCAAAATTAAAGAAAAGGCTACTCACGCTTGTTAATGTTTGAATAGATAATGCTTTGAAAGTTAATGCCGTGATACTGCAATATCGTTGCGCTCTAATAATCATAAGGCAAAGATGTCTCCGATGAATTGGAGATAACTTATACCATGGTAAATTGAAATAAATTACGTGACCTACTTCTTCACTTTCATGAACAAGAATTTCGCTGGGCCAACAAAATAAAAGGATTTCCACCGTCATGGAAATGAAATAACACATAAATTTCAGCATATCGATAATTGCTGCCCCGTTATCGAGCATTCCGTATCCAGTTAAACAAATTTCTATTCCACTCGTAAGAAGTTGCATAAAAAGGATGGGAGTAAATAAATTATTTATATCGTCCACTACACTGTATAAAAATAATAGAAACTTATATAGAAGAAAGACTATTATACATTGCCAAATGAATGAGATTGAAAGTAGCAAAATGTTTACTGTATGATTCGCTGATGATGGCGAATGCACTTAAACAGGTCTATTTCAAATTTTTCCAAATGAATAGGCTCGCGATTGATTTCAATTCCAATTTTATTCATCCAGGTTTTGATTAGTTTAAACTGTCCAGCCACGTGTAATATTACGGTCATAATCGAGCAGTCTATACCAGCGACTCCTGAAATTCCTCCGATGGATATCAAAATTTGGCAGAAGAAGACGATTTCGAATTTGGGAGACGCTGAGATGTCTGTCCCGTACCTGTTAGTAGTGATGTTAGAATGTTAAAGCTGTATATTTTCATTATTTACATTCTTTTCATGATCAGTGGCAGGAGAAATGTAAGTAGATAAGGACGATTTTTACCAGGCGATAAAAGGTAAATGTCGATTGTCATTACTTAAATAATTGATAATTGCCGACGTTAAGAAAAAGGTCACATTGCACAAGAGGCATACAAAGAAAATTATTGTAACAGTTCGAGCCCAATAAGCAATTTGTTCGTAAGATTTCTTTTCGTTAGGATCATCGGAAGAATCCCATAGACATCGCATTTCATTATAAAGCTTACGTGCTTTTTCTCTTCTTGCTGTTACGTAAACTACTTTGTATAATACTTGTCCGACTGATGTTAAAGCGGTCCCTATTTCTGATTTGAGGAGAAATATCGATTGGCTACGCTTTCAGAAAGTGAAATATAAAATTTCAGATAATTTCATTAAAAATCTTACCTGTTACGGTTTGTATGTTGCCCCAATTTACTACTACCGCCCAAATTTGGGGCACCAAGATAGAACTGTATAAAATCACTGTCACTATCAAGCGGAAATATGCGAATATTTTGCTAGACGTTGAACTTTTCTCGTCGATAGGCCACATTCCAACAACACTACAGAAGATCTTATTCGGTAGTATGTAATAATCGATCGATGTATTAGATAGTTCTTTCATGTTCTCCCTTCATGCGATATGGTTGCAAACGGAAATTTATTTTCTGTTTCTTTTAACCAAGTTTTACTACACGGAATTCTCTGTAGCAATATTATAGATTATACGCTAAAACATAAGGTTTTATTTGCATGTTCCTTATGCTCGGAACATGTTCAATATTAATGTTATTCTGCATACGTCCCTCTTTAATTCCCTTATTTCTGATTTGTAGTTTGATGAATAGTCTATGTTGTAAGTAGAGGGGACTGTATCTAAATTGTTAATATGGTTTTCCATGCAACATAGTTGAAACTTCTATTTAGTACGTATCAAGTCGTTTACCGAGACGCATGATGGAAAAATTTGTCGTTGTCATAAAATTTCTTTCTGATATTATTTTCAGAGATAGATTAGAGAATATATTAGCAATGATTTAAATTAACTCAGTCTACTTCGATTTTGCCAAATAATAAAGTAGAAAATAGTGTGACACAATAATATTTAAATAATTTAACGCAAATATTTATAATACTGACGTATGTTAATATTTGTAGTATACTCAAAATCGTCAGAAAGTTCAGAAGATATGGAATTAAAAGTATTTAAAGAAGATGAAAATTGCAAATGATACTTTTCTACCAGATGACAAGAATTTTCAAATTGGATAGTATGGGCAATATCTACATGCAGTTATACAAAAACAGGTACGATATAATATGAATATTTATACTTCTAATTATAGATTACTTTTTGAGCTATTGTACAGTGGTATTATACTATAGATATTTCTTTGACTATTTTTGTTTAATATCGTACATTGTAATTATACTTTCATTGAAATTTAATCTTGCATTTTTCGCAACAATGTAAAATATGAAGCAGCTGTGTTGAACACCTGAAATCATTTGTATTTTGATTTATATTTTAGTGTTGCAAGAATTGATTTTTTATAATTAAGTTTTATATTCTGGTCGTTCTTGACTTTTTTTAAAATTTAATTTTCAAAATTAAAACAATGAGTACTCACGCTTGTTAACGTGTGAATAGATAATACTTTGAATGTTAATGCCGTGATACTGCAATATTGTTGCGCTCTAACTATCACGAAGCAAAGATGTCTCCTGTAAATTGGTGGTAAATTGTACCACGGTATATTGAAATAAATTACCTGCCCTATTTCTTCACTTTCATGGACAAGAATTTCACCGGGCCAACACCATAAAAGGAGTTCTACCGCCATGGATATAAAATGGGTTGTAAATTTCATTATATCGATAACTGCTGCACCGTTATCGAGCATTGCGTATCCACTTAAACAAATTTCTATTCCACTCGTAAGAAGTTGCATGAAAAGGATGGGAGTTAATAAATTATTTATATCGTCCACCACACTGTATAAAAGTAGTAGTATAAATGATAAAAATTTATATGGAGAAAAGTTGTTACACGTTGCGAAAAGAACAAGATTGAAAATAGCAAAATGTTTACTGTATGATCCGCTGGTGATGGCGAATGCACTTAAACAGGTCCATTTCAAACTTATCTAAATGAACGGACTCGCGATTGATTTCATTTCCAATTTTGTTGATCCAGGTTTTGATTAGTTTAAACTGTCCAGCCACGTGTAAAATTATGGTCATAAATGTACAGTCTACACCAGTGATCGCTGAAATTCCCACGATGCATGCCAACAGTTGACAAAAGAAGGCGATTTCGAATTTGGGAGAAGCTGAGATGTCTGTTCCGTACCTGACAGTGATGTTAGAATATCGTTGCTGTATATTTTCGTTATTTACATTCTTTTCATGATCAATGGCAGGAGAAATGAAAGTAGATAAGGACGATTTTTACCAGACGTCAAAAGGTAAATGTCGATTGTCATTACATAAATAATCGATAATTGCAGACGTTGTGAAAAAGATCACATTGCACAAGACGCATGCATAAAAAGTTATTGTAACAGTTCGAGCCCAATAAGCGATTTGTTGGTAAGATTTCTTTTCATTGGGATCATCGGTAGCATCCCATAGACTTCGTATTTCATTATAAAGCTCATGTGCTTTCTCTCTTCTCGCTACTAAGTAAATTATTTTGTATAATACTTGTCCGACTGATGTTAAAACACATCCTATTCCTAATTTGAGAATGAATGTGATTTATTGCGTTGCTAAAGAAACAGAAGTTCTCGTTTGTAGAAACGTGAGATACAAGTCAATTTAGTGAATCTTACCTGTTAGAATCTGTATGTCACCCCAATTTACTGCTATCGCCATAATTTCGGGCACAAAGACACTATTGAGTGCCGTTATTGCAACTATTACGCGGCAGTATGTGAATATTTTGCTAAATGTCGAACTTCCCTCATCGATAGGCCATATCCCAAGTATACCACACGAGATCTTATTCGGTAATGTGTAATAATCGAACGACGTATTAGGTAGCTCTTTCATCTTCTCCCTACATGTGAAATTGGATGCGTGTCTGCGAGTTTCTACCTTTTCTATTACATGTTTCCGGCAGAGAATTCTTTATAACGGTATTATAGATTATAAAACATGAGGTTTTATGTAGGTATCTTTTTGTAGTCAAAGTACAGCATTTTTCAATATCAATGCCATCACATTGAACGTGCATTTTTTTACTTCGGTCATATCTGATTTATGATTTGATTAATAATTCATACTGTAAGTAGTAGGAACGGTATGTAAGTTGCTACAATTTTCTTCTCTTTTTTAGCGATGAAATTTTAACTACAGCTAGGTACCGAATTGCTTGGGAGACTCAGTATGATAGAGTTAGTCTTTATCCGGACGTTTCTCCGATATCATCTTAAAAAAAAAATTAAGTTCCGTTTCGTCGACGTATGAAAGGTACAATAATTAGTAATAATAATTGAATTTAAATGAATTTCATTCGTTTACAAACATTCTATACATTGTTATAATACATGATGAAATAGTATAATGAAAAGGATGAATGAATCTTAACATAATTATATATTACCTTATAATTAACATTCACATTTCATAAATAGTATGAGTTATAGTCTTACAATTTTTGTTCTTTTATAACGAGCTATTTTTCTAGGTGAAGTAAAGCTGAAGTTAAAAAGAGATTTCGATGTACTATCATTTTTTTATTGACCGTTGAATTTCTATGAGACTTTTGCCCATCGTTTCCGGAATTAAAAAATAGACATACGGTACCGAGAACAGCACACAGATACTGTAAGTCCAATATACAAATTTTTCACCGACTAGATCTAAAAAGGGTTGATAAGACTTAGCACTCGCGAAAGAGAGCAAAGCGTTACTGGAACTCACGCATAAGGTGGCCATATTTTTCATATTGGCAGTGAACATTTCACCTAAAAGTGTGCTTGGAATCGGCAATAATCCAGAGGACATGGACAAGTTAAGAGTTAATAACGCGATTATCGGTAACCACGTCAAAGTATTTGGATCATATTCTAATGAAAGAAAATGAAAATGCAATCCTAAAAGTGCCAATGATATCGATGTTCCTACACTAGACATTATCAAGAGACATTTTCTACCCAATTTGTCGACTAGTAATGTAGCTGTCGAACCGGCTACGATCATACAGAATCCAAGGATCGTTACCACTAGGCTTGGTGTTATGGTAATTCTGCCTTTTGTCAGGATTATTTCCGCGTAAGAGTACAATGCACTGTATCCACTCACATAGGAGAACACGTAGATACCAATTATGACGAGAGGTTTCTTTAAATTACCTGAAATGAAATAGAAAAAAATTCAGGATTGATCGTTTCGTTCGTTATTAGTTTCTTAACTTCGGTGCTTAAAATTTTCATTATGATGAAGACAGAAAGGGTTACGAAGCTTTCTAAAGTAGTTCGAGATTAGTTTGGAGAAAATCGTAAGAGAAAGCTAAACTGCTAGAAATACCACGTTCATAGTAGGAATGATGAATACGAAGTAACGTAACGATGTTAATTCTCTTAAATATTTAATAATCATATCAGAGCGAAATGTTAGCAACGAAGCAAATTTTAATTTGTTGTCTTGTAAATGAATTCTTTTGTCGCTAGCTTTTCTGGAAATGTTTTAAGTTGAAAAAGAAAATCGATGAGTACTTGGCATGAGGAACTCCTTCAACTTTAGGAAAATATTAGTTTCAGCTCCGTCGACGAATTCTTGAAGATCTCGCATCTCGGCTTTGACGTCAGCTTCTCGCCTAAACCACTTCAAGGATGCCTCAGCCTTGTCGATATCTCCGTGTAGGAGGTAATGGTAGGGTGATTCGGGTATCAAACTGAAGAGGATCATGAAGAGGATACTCGGAACGAGGCTCACGTACCCGAACATCTCCATGGACAGATAAGGACCCATTGCATTGCCCAAGAACATACCAACGGAAGATGCATTCACGTTCATGGATATCTAAAGACGTGACCACAGGTATAGCTTTATCGGATAAGAAATCTCATTCAGAATATTCATGTAGATAGAAAGAAGTTTATTTTAAGACATTACTTTTTAAGAGATGATTTAATCAATTTAATTGATGCACGATATGCAAATGATGTTCTTTGATAAAAATTCGGAGTAAAATATTGCGGGCAGATGTTTCGATAATATTTTCATTCATTTCATTTACTTGTAGCGCAGGACATAAGAATTAAATAGAAACTTACCAGTGATCCACGAATTTTCGGATCGGCGATTTCGCTTAGATATAAGGATAATGCAGCCCACATCATCCCCGATCCGATTCCCGAACAGAATCTAGAGATGTGGAGCCACATAACCGTTGTAGCGAAAATACTGAATATCCAGCTCGTTATTAATGGTATTCCAGCAAGTAGAAGTACTTTTTTCCGTCCAATATATTCTGAAAATGATGTCGTGACATGTTAAAATTATAATTACCTGATTACCCACAAGATTACCACAACTCAGTCACACGTCGCACAATCATATATTTGACGGATCACTGACTACTTGTTAACTTCTTTTTTTACATTTTTTTCCAGATCTTTGTTTAAAGATCAGAAGTGCGTTTCTTGATGATTCTCTATTCACAGATTACAATTATTTGCTTGCATTTACTTTTCTACGTACCACAATTTCGTATCATGTTTTTCTACGAGTGCTGAGTCGTGGCTGCCTTGTTCTTATTCAATTTTCGATTAACAATGTTGATCACCATTGTTTGCCTTGCTTGGTCACTCGATCGTCTGCTGTAAGAGAGTATCGATCGGGTCAACTACGAACTACGTATATGTTTGTCAAAGTTATCGAACATTTCTGGTGTACTGAGCAATTTAAATGAAACAAGTGTTTAGCGTCAAATTCGAAGGAGTGTAGGGATAATTAAAGAACATTTTTCAAGTTCAAGCGTGTCTTCGTGTCGTGGCTGGAGAGGTTTTGTATAAATTAATAAACTTGACGACGGACGAGTCTTTTTTCTGACAATGAAGAAATAGCTTTACCTTGACACAGTGCACTGAGCAAAGCCCCAACCAGACGGCCAAGATTTAAAAGAGACGCTACCCAGGACGCTTCGCTATCTGTCAGTCTCAAAGGCATGCTCGCTTCCGTTGATGTCAGTTGAGCCAAGTATGGCGATGTCCAACCATTCGCGAGACCACTTCCGATAGCAGCTAAGCTGACTGTCACAAACGGCCATGAAACAGTTGTGTCAACGGATGCGAGAATAATTTCATTAGCTCATTCATAGACATAGCTCTACAGATACCTTGATGCTCGAGGTGCGGCGCATTTTGATGTGTACCAGAGATTGTATTAGATCTCTTGATCAAGTTTAACGTTAAGTAAACGTCGCGTTCGTGATCACTTTCACAAAACTCGATGCATATTATTCTTATGGGTATTAAGTATCGGTTAAGAAATAATTAATTTCGGCGATTGCACGATTATTTATTCCATTTAGAAATAAAGCAACGTACAATCGCTTAATCTCGCTTGACTGATATATTGAAATACTCACGTGTACACGTAGCTAACCATTGTGGCCAGATTGTGATTCTTCTATCTGCATCTTTTTTTGGGTCTTCCACAGACATCCCGATTCTTGGTGTTAGACGAAATGTGCAGGATGTAGTGGCTGTCTTGTCAGGTCGGATGAAATTATCCGAACTGACTCATATAACTTATAGCAGGAAGACATCAGTTGAGATCGGAAGATTTGCATCCCGATAAGATTCCTGATGTATTTATGCCCCGTGTGTAAGAGTTTGATCATTATATATGCCGTATGTATTTGTCTTTTCATCATGGGCGCGTGAAAAAGCTTATTATCTTGGAAATTTCTGTGGTTAGATTTTTCTTATCTTCGACTATACTTTTCTGGTTACAATCAGAGTACGGTATGAAATTTTTGAAAACATCACACCACGTAAATATTCATTAGCAGTGATTGACAGTTCAGCACTGTTATCGCGAGATCACGTCACAATTAGTTAATATCAAGAACTACTGTTTCGAAATTTATTGTAGACATATGGAAGACTGATGTGTGAAGCTGGGTATTGTCATGCATACGATGTGTAGTTTGAAAATATTTTATATGCAAAAATATAGACGTTTGCAATTTTAAACATTATGCAAGGTACTGTGAGATGTTGTATTTGGGATCAAAAAAACTTTGAGATAAAAAAGAAAAAAAATGACAGTGAAAAAAGCAAAAATCTTTTTACTTTCAGTTAATTTCTTTACAAAATACACAGAAAGAGTATTTATGATAGTTCTTCAAGAATATCATTTTACAGTTCACCTTATATATATATCTGTTGAATAAGATTGATATTAAATTGGTTAAGTGAGTTCGTTGCGATGCAACATTGTTTTATTGCAAATTCAACGTACATGTAAATAATGTTTATTATAATGCAGTTATAATTAAATTTAATAATTAATTACGTTAATCTTTTTTTGTTTGATTAAAATATTCTGTTTATTTCAGAATAAATATTGATCAGAATGAAAAAGGGCCAGCCTCTGTCGAACGACATAAGCATTCCAGAGTCTTTAAATCTTTTTGCGAAAAAAATTGGACAAAAAGCTCGTATTCATGGAGACAAAAGGTAAAATAAACTTAGTTTGGATAATTTCATCGTGGACAAATAATACTTTAATTACTTTAATTATTTGTGATAATATGTTGACATATTTTATTTTTGTTTTATCATAAAATATAATTTAATTTAGTTGTATATTGTAATGTCACTAGTAAAGTAACGACGAAAGAGATGTTGACAATACTGAATCCAACTCTTATTCAATTCGGTTGTCTACCTTTAACTACATTCTCAGAAAGATGTGATGGAGTGAACGATGAGATTAAGAAAGTCTCCAAAAATTACGATGATAATGATAAAAAAGTTAACGATTGTCTTAAAAGAGTCTGTAATAACTTGGATAGTATCTATTCAAGTACGTTTATGACGATTGATTTCACTACAAATATGAAATACTATTACATTTAGAAAAAAATACTAAGTAATAATATTTTCGAAGATGGCATTGAAGAAAAGACGATAGAAGATGAAAGTGAAACGTTATGCTCCACAAGTTTAACGGATGAATTGGAACTATCTTTCGATGGTAAATGGTTGAGAAAATATTTTAAATTGCCATTGAAGATGGCAATCAAGGAAATTGTAACAAAGAAACCTTGCGATCCTGTCAATTATCTTGGTTTTTGGTTACTGAATTATAGAAGATGTCGAGAGCGTAGGCAGTGGCAATTACAGAAAGATAACGAGTTAAATTATCTTCGGTGTATGATCAAAGAACCAGTACGTGTTATTAGTAAAGTTTCATATCTTATCGTCTTCTTTCTTTATTATACTTTTCTTATATGATTATATTTGAATAATAGTAAAATTATATTTATGGTCTGAAGGAATAGGAGTGTAGAAAATATACATAATATACAGAGATGTACAAAGTGTTCCAAGGTTTAGGTTTCTTTTAGATTTTTTTAATTATCCGTATTTTAACTATTTTTTTCAATATCCGATAAATTATCATAACAAAAATTTTTCGGCCTTTGGACAAAGCAAAGGTATTCTGAACTAACGTTTCAGGTATCTAAAGAAGAGGAATTTTCAATGAGAGGAGAGGAAGAAGAAGAAGGAGAAAAAGAAGGAGAACAGGGAATGCGCGACTGGAATTTTAAACATTACAAGACTATGCATACATAGAAATAAAAGGTTTTTTTCTTTTGTCTTGTCATTTATAAACTATAAATATATATCTATTTGATTAGTCGAATTACAACTACAAACATATACATACATACATATAAAAGTAACTTTTCATTACAGATACCAAAATCAATAACGCCCTTGTTAAGTAAATAACAAAATACTAATTGCAATTAAAGAAAGAGAAACTCGAATGCGTGCTTGTCGAAAACCAAATGTTTGCATAATTGCGTTATTTATTTTATCGTATCAGTTGATTTCGTTTTTCGGTAACAGTTCACTGTCTGACCATACGATAGCGTTCACCCCTTCGATCGACCGAAGAGATCGTTTAAATTTCGCAGAATCGTTCGTAGGTGTCTCGACGTTCGACGAGACTCGCTTCGTACGCTCTCGTGCGTTTCCGTCGCGGGGTCGCGGTTCCCATGCGAAGTTGCGCTCAGTTCGAATCGCGCAGCCGCCCCTGTAGTTTCGGTGCGCGGTTAATCGAAAACGGGGTGAAACGTACGCGGCGTTTCATACGTGCGTAACGAGACGTATATCAACAGCTCGTTGGTTGTCGTTGTCGTGGTCGTTGTTTCAAGCATGACGACAGGAGGATGAGGTTGTCGCGTCACGATGCGAAGTGTGCGACGAAAACACGCGTCGCCGTGTACAATTGGATTGTTATTGACGCAAGGGTTGGTTGCGCGGCCATGCCAGTCGTCGGGTGAACGGCTTGGCCGGCAGATGGCGCGGCGTTCGTTTCGGTCCACCCTGCCTGCGCTGGAATGCCCTCGGCGAGGAGCCTGTCGACGCTGCCGTCTTTCGTGGAGCTTTTTTCCACGCCACGATCAGGTGACTGGGCCAAGGCCCTTTCCAGACCCTACGAATCGTTCCCTAACCGCTAACGGACATTCGCGGACGGACGTGTAATCGCGGAAACGGATAGAAGAACGCGCCAGCCGGGTGGTCCACTTTGCACGTACGAAGGAGGTTGCTGTGTTGTGTTGTGCACCAGAAGGCGGTTCCAGTGCACTCTGTACTTCGATCGTATCTCGCTCTCGTTTCGTCTCGATTCGTCTTCGACAGTGTGATTCCTGTTCGAGATCATCCGTGCGACTGGCTCCTCTGTTTAACAGAGGGCCGTGTTCGAACCACCGACGGTTATCAGCCGCGAGAGGAGGACGCGGCAGGCGACCGAGTTAAAGCGGAACACGGGAGTGTCGTCCACCATTTTGGCTGCGCGAGGTTATTCGATATGTGCACCATTCTCGTTACGCGTTCTCCGTTTTCGAATTTTTCATCCGAAACGGACGGCTCGCGACGCTTGTCGGGTCATCGTTCGTCGAAACGGAACACAATCGCCAACACCGCACACCAAAGAGGAGATCGTCCCTGCGAAACGATCCGTTGAAAGTGTCGAACAGTTAAATGGAGCAAGGCGAGGGCTGTTTTCCTCTTCGCAGTCCTCTGACGCTGTCAGCTGGTTGTCTCGGTATGATACGAATCGGCGAGATTCGCGGACATATGGTACTCGAGCGAGTCGAGAAATAATCGCTTCGAGGAATATATCGCGCGGGTAAACTGCCACTGGAATGGAACAATGTCGCTGGAAAGTGGGTTACTATAAGTGCCGTCCCTGCTGTTGGTGAAAATTGACGTTCACGGGGGGATATTCTGTGCCTCGTCCCGTACCCGTGCGTACTCGTCCTTCAAACTCGCGCGTGTGTGTGTGTGTGCGTGCGTGTTCACTATCTCTGTTACTCGTCCCGTCGATACCGACGAATTTCGCGTACGAATTCGGTCTTAGTGCAGCTGATCAAGAACGACGTGTCTGAGGGAGCCAGCCTGTGTATGTAGGATCTCGAGTGCCATTAACCTCGTTTCGTGGCCACCTCGCGGCGGAGCGAATCTCGTTCCGCGATTTTTTCTCTCTGTCCTTACGTTCCCGAGGTCCGCATTTCAACGTGATGGGAGATGGGCGGCGTGATTAACAACCAGGAATCTGCGGCGGGGCGAGTACAGGAATCGTGGCGTTCGGGCACGATCTACATAGTAAGTCGCGTTTGTGCCGTTACGCGGCAGTAACACTCGCTATTTTTCTTTTTCCTTTTTGTCGATTTCTCTCTGAAATCGAAAGACGCACGTGTCTCGTTCACCTTGACGGATCTCTCTGTCTCAACGTTTATTTACAATGCGCGGTGGAAACGCGGGAAACGAGAAGGACGTTGATGATTTAAATTTCCCGCGTGTGATTCTCGCAGAAGGGACGCGTGCGTCGTATTCTTTTCTCTCCAATTCTCGTAACAATTAACGCTCTCGTAACACGGACTCTTTAGATACGTGGTTGTTACATGTTTACGTTGTTTTGCAGGCTGAGATAAATAGCGGCGGTGGGAATGGTGAAGAGAAAGGAAGGAGAGGATGAACTTGTCCCAAAGCTGGCGTGAAAACGAAAACGAAACGACACGATGGAGACCAAGTGACTGTAACATTGTCTCGATCTCCCGAACGAGATCGTAGGGCGTAGTTTCTAGATGTATCGTGCGATTATTCGACTGAAGTGAACTGGTTTTTTTTGGTGTGCTCTCCGATCAGTGCTTCGATTGTGCTGTGCAAGTTTATTGCCGACGTATTTGTCGCGAGGATCTCGTGTGCTGCGCACGTTACACCGACCCATCGGAGACACGTGAGTAACCTTATCAGAATTCCTTTTTTCGTCTCCATCTCGGGTGACGATAACGGGCTTTCCCGAGCGTTGCGAGCACGTTGCTAAATATAATCAGGGGATCAGTTAGCCAAATACTCTTGTCGTTTGGCAAATATGTAACGTGCATTGTGTGCGAGTCAAACACGATTTAGTCGAGATTACGTTCCCTTTTTCCCTGATGCTGAGCAAATACTTTGGATTTATTCAGGAACGTGATTCCCAGCAGTGTTTTGTTATTGTTAGATTGCTTAGGTTGCGTCAGGCTTATTTTTGAACCTGTATCTCGGTTTTCAATTTCTCGGTTTCCATCCAGTTTCAGTCAAGTTACTTGATTTCATTTATATTCATGGAAGTGTTGTAGAACTGAGTAACTCAATTCGTTATCTAGCTGGAGATCAATATTATAAAGTTATATCGTAAAGTATCGCTGGACGTGATAGACCTTGTCGTAGACCCAAGCTAGAGTTCGAGAGAGAAAGGAAATGCAAGACCTCAAGGGGAAATGATCTGTCTAGGGTCAGACAAACCGATCGAAGTATTAGGTCCGACGAAGAATTCTGTCGTCTCTTTCTCTCACGATTCTACTGCCTTTCTCTGCTGCATCTCTATCCTTCTACGTCTATTATCGACGAAAGGGAAAACAACAATTTCCACGTTGTCCATCGTAAAAGGGCGTAGCAAGCGTTTAACGATCGTTTTCCACTGGCATCCGTGTCTTGAAATATTCAGCAAAATAAAGAGGCTGTTCGAAAGGCTTTCTTCGCCATTATCTTCAACCCTCAATCGCCAAACGTTGAAATATGCATAACGAAAGAAAAAAAAGTTCGTAGGAGACTGTCCACGTGGAAACAGCGTTTGTTAGAGCTCTTTATAAAGTGTTTCTCTGTCGCGAGGCAGGTCGAGGCGGTTGTTACTCCTTTATGAACGCGAATGGCTTTTATATAGAACAACTTCCGCGTAGTGTCTTCTTCATAATGTAACGATGGAGATGTTCTCGCGAAAAAGGCTCTTTAATAAAATGCTTCCCCCTCCCCGTTTATCGCCGCTTTGCTAAGCCTTCGTTTGTCGTTACCCGCGACATCCGCCGACGCGGCCGTACATTGAAAGTTTAATGTGAAATCATCGAACATGGAAAGTTGGCGGCATTCCAGTTTCTCCTGCCGTCTCTCAAATCCGTTCTCCTACAACCCTTTATACAGTACCAGTTCACGTAACACGTGTTCAACTGTGTACGTGACATACGTTGCGGGGCATAGGTTTGCCCGCACAACTGCACATGGAACTGAATTATTGGAAATGTAAATTGAAAGTCAATATTATTTCGGGGGGCTTAAGGTCTGCAAGTTATATCCGCGTGCTATTCGATTAGCCGGGAAATTAGTCCGGCTAACTGTTTTTTCGTCTTTCTTTTTCTTTTCACGTCGGCTACGCGACAGTGAAGCAAGTCATTCCTCCTCTTTGTCAGTCGAAACTTTTTTCACGCTGCGAGCATATTCGAGAAAATTCGCTACAAGATTTATTATATTCGGCAAGGATAATTTTCAACTTTTCAGAGACTCTGAGACAAAGTATCAGGAAGTCGAAGGTTCGTAGATAGAGATGTTCATATAGAGGTACGTTGAAAATTTTTTCTTTTTTAAATCTCGTGCTCGTGGATAATCTGAATTATTACGTTCGTTTCTGCTCATTGGATTTATTTAAAGAAATTTATTCGCGTGACAGCGCTCTCTGTCATTGTCTTACATCCTGTCCTTTCGTCAGGGCATTTTTCTAGGACAATGGAGTTAATCGTAGGAAATAATTACGGTCCTAATTGCAAAGTCTTCAGATTTCAATAATTTCATTGTGATATATATTAGCGCCCTTTCGTTCAACTCATTTCATCCTCGTGTCTTTTCTTTTTCACTTTTTTTTTTTTTTTTTCACGAGCAGCCTTCGCTCGTAAGAGGGTAATTCATGTCTACTTGCAGATGTAATTACGTTCCATAACGTTGTTTAACTTCCTTTTCGGAGTATTTATTATCAGAGAAATCTCTTAACCCGATTGGCTGACCTATTTTAGTGTAAACCACTTTATTATTTATCGCGCTGTTCGTTGCTCGTTGTCACTGGATATTTTCCATTCGGTTATTAATGACCGAGCTGACTGAACGATTAAAAATCCCCGCGCATAGTGATAAATCGATATCAGAGATTTTTTTCGTTTGTTTCGTTTCGATTTCTTCCACGTGATATACACGTGCATGTCACCGAATGAAACTACAATTCGAACTCGTCAATTTATTAGCATAGTTTCTCCATGTTTCGGTGATTCTATTGTTCGTACGTGTAACTTTTTATTAAAAAATTGCGAAAGATCCGCGTATACACAGTGTCGGGCTGATCGTACCTCCGAGACCTGACATCTTTCTCGTGTTTTCCTTACCTCTCAGAGAAATATGTGCTAAAATTTCATTGGAGATCTCAAACGTTCCCTCCTTGTTTTCACAATGTCGTCGGGACAAATCACGTTTGGAGAAGAAAAATGTAACATCGAGGGAAATAAGGGCGGTTTTCATACACGCACAGTCTCGCGTTGTGCTTTACGATTTTCGTTCGCCAATGGTCGATTTAATTACGCCGTTTATTATGTAACCTGTGTAACGGCAGGGAAATTAACGATTGTTAATGCGCTTCGTCACATGTAGCAACAATTTAAAAATCAATAAAAACACAGGAGTGGCGCGTTACTCGCGTGCTCGTCGTCACGTATATACACTGTGAATAACTCAACATTACTCTGTCGTGGATAATAACAATCTCTCGGTATCCAAATTCCTTGATGTATCGTTGCGGCTAACTTTCACGCGCATCGTGAATAATGTGAGACTACGGGGGGAGTAGTGAAACTTTTAATAAATTTGCTGGATCGATGTTGAGATATTTAGCAGCTGTGGTTACGCGGCTATAAAGTTGCGCAAGTTTTCTTTTCGCGATTCGTATGGAAGCGACGAGTTAAGAGAGTAGTAGATAACTAATATTTGATCTAGAGTACTGGCCTGACTACACATGGACATGTTCTACTTACGTATGACCGAATGGAGAAGTAAAGACAAATGGGTACGAAGTAGCTAAGATTGACAATAAAATTTCCAATCGAAAAGAACAAGAATTTTCATCTAATCAGACTATCGTCTGTGATAATTATCGAATTCGATAATTCCACCCTTGCCAGCCGATTTTACAATTCAGATGGTACACTTTTCGTTAAAGTAGTCTTTTCTCAATCCTTTTTTTTTTTTCAATCGTGAGACAGGAGATCGAATATTCCAATTCCGTTGGATTCGAGGCAATTTGTCTTCCCGTTTAAGCATTTGTCATCGATACCATTCGTCGATCAACTGACGACGGATCGTCCACCCACGTGTGGCCTTCCTCCGTCCTCGAATATCGTGGCCGACTACGATTTATCAAGGGTAAGAGACAGAGCAAGATAGATAGCAGGGGTAAGAAAGTATTTTTCAAGAACAAATGTTGGCGAATTCTCGCGTGACGAGGAGAAAAGATCAGTTCGATAAAAGAGATCCTGCCTTTTTCCCCCGATTGTTGTTCAGCGTTTAGTTAATTTAATAGTTTATCTATTACACAGAACTATATTATACTCCAACCACGTTGAGCCTAGATTATTAAGTTCACCTGAGCCTTGAATTCAATCGTTCAATCGTACAATTGTAGAAAAACTATAGAATATCCATTCGTCCGATATTTACACGCTGGCTGTCAGCTCGAAAGCTTTCAATCTAATCTGTAATCTTTGAGAGCGATATCTCTCGGCTTTCATCTTATTTGAAACATTCGCCTATTTAATACCACCGCTTTTGAATATTAACGCATTTCAAAGATTCGCCCGATGCATTTAACTCGATCTAGAGATCTCTTCCCCAGTCGAGTGTTAAATTTATTCGCAAATTTCTGACACGAAACGCCTTAATTATCTGATCGATGTTCGATACAAACACTTTGACTTTGTCCAATTAGTTTAATTAATATGATGGAGGGGTTGTCATTTCGTAAATAATTTTCTACGTAGATGAACGTTTTTTTGCAACGATAACTCACAAGTATAGCATATAACGCGATACTCGTGTAGATAGAAATATGGCTAGATTGAACGAACGCGAGAATGTATCGCGGACCGTTTTCATTTTGCCAACTGAATATGATTTGCTACGCGACTAGGCATGTAGGTTAGCGTTTTCGTACTTGCGGCTACGTGGCTGCAAAGTATAATAAAGTGCGGAGGGGATTTCGACCCGGGGATGCGGTTTGTAACCCTGTTTCGTTTTTTTGCGGTTACCAACGACGACACTGGTCGACTGGTTTTTTTTCGGGACAAAGCTTGGGACGCTTCCGCTTCGAGGCGTGACACCAACCAGAGAGAGAGAGAGAGAGAGAGAGAAAGAGAGAGAGAGAGAGAGCTTAATGAACCGACGTAGCTTTAAAACGCTGCTTCGATTGCGAAATTCTAGGTTCTAGAATCTCATCGAGAGAGAAAGAGAGACGTTTTGCATCTTCTTTCGCGCGAAATGAGTTTTCATTTCATTTTCCTATCCGTGGAATGTCATTGATGCGCGTAATGGAATAATTAAGATCGCGTTGGTAATTGCGAAGTACCGGGGTGAGGTAGCGCGTGCGATAAGATCTTTAATTTGAGGAAACTAGTAAGTAAAGTTGAAGTTTAATGGAAATTCTACTGTAATCAGATGGCAATAGATTATTCCGCGAAGGTCTTGCAGAAT